AACACATTCACATACACTAACGTATCGCTAGGACACATTCAGCACATCTGTTATAAAAGCAAGAGCCGGCGAGGTACATCTATTATACAGTAACCAGTTAGTCATGCTGCTGCCACGCGTATCCTAGAGAGATCTATTGTATGTTTTGAGTACAAGTGTCCTTCCGTGTCTGTGGGGGATTGGCTCCAGGATTGCCATGGATACCAAAATCTGTGGCTACTCAAGTTCCTCAAATAGCACATAGTACAGTACATCTTACAGATGCAGAGGGCCAACTGTGCTTTCTTTTCGGGTGGGGTCATTTCTATGAGTTAATGTGAATACAAATTTTATCCAGTGTACATATTGGTATTCCACATGTTTACAATGGGGGAGAAAAATTTGCTGCTAAAACCATAGCACTACCAATGCTGCCTATCTTACTTGGGAATAAGAAAGATTTCAAATTTAAGCTCCCATTATCAATTAAAAAATCTATTTTTTTTAAGGATACAAAAGATCTTTTGCACATATATGAAAATCTTTTTACAAATTTATGATGGTCTACTAGGCATAGTTGGAATTTGCACCAGGAAATCAACTAGTTGCTTAAGCATCAAAAGCATTAAATCTTTTAAGAATCTCAGTATAGGGCAAACAGTTTAGTAAAGTCCTAAGGAGAAAAAAATTTAGTGGGTGTGAGAGCAAGAATGTGGGATTAGAGAAAGAATGTAGAAGAGAAGGAAAAAAAACCCCAAAAAACCCAAGAAACACCATCTCAACATGTAAAACTATAAAACTAAGCAATACAGAGGGGAAAGTCCTAGATGAGGATTTGGGAAAAACAATGATAACCACCACTAAATTTAGGTAAGAGATTAGCTTTGTACTAGGCTTGGAATGTTGACCCAGTTAGTAATCTGTACATCTCAGCTTTCTCACCGATAGCCACCCAGCCTGTTGTTTAAAGATCAAACTAGATAGCCTATTGAAACAGACCTGTTTCAAAACAAACCTATGCGTAATCTGAGTGTGGGGAAGGGGAGAGAAGGTAACTCCTTCTCTTTTTCACTTCCATTCTCATTAGACCTGCAAGACAAACTACAGGCTTGACAAACTCAATGTTATCCAGGACAAAATCTAAGATTGCTCACTTCTTCTCACAGTTCCCTTTCTTTTCCTCTTCAGCTTTTTAAAATTAATTAAAAGACAGTTAATTTCTATAACCTGTATGTTTACTGAAATTTAAGCAATGACAAGTTAGGACAACCTGGCTCAAAAATGCCTACTTCTAATAAACTTTAGAAAACTTTTGTAAAGTTTTAAGCTACAGTAGTAAGAATTATTTATGTCATTTTATTATAGAATTTTAAACTTCTGGCTCCTATGTTTTTAAATTCATCACTTTGTAATCGGATCATCTGGTGGGCTTGGAGCAGCAACATGACACCAGAGAAAGCACTCTGTTGTTTCACAGCACATAACCCCGAGAACCTTTCTAAAATGAAAGTCAAGAAACGTACTTAGCTACTTAAAGATATTTAATAGGAAAATAAGTACTTCATTCTACACCCAACCCTTTTTGGACAACTCTCATATGCACACTCTGACAGAGACCACACACAGTGTAAAACATGGAACATCACAGAAAAGACTGCTTATCAGTCAGCTTTCATCTTTGCAACCAAAGGTTTTCTCTAGCAAGATATAACAACTAATGGATTGTTAAAAACTGGTCAGAGAGTTAGTTCTGTATTCTGCTTATAATGACAAAGTGGAGGACAACCTACAAGGTTGTTATTTCTTACGGGAAGTACAGTGTACTAATTTGGAAACAATTTGACTTCTGGATGTTTGATTTTTATACCACTCACTCAGTGCTGACACTGGGAGTCCTGACTGTCTCATATTTGCCAGGAAAGACTTAAGTGGTAATAAACCCTTAGGAGGAGAAGGGGATGAGAGAGGAGGAGATGGTTGGATGGCATCACTGACTTGATGGACATGGGTTTGAGCAAGCTTCGGGAGTTGGTGATGGACAGGGAAGCCTGGTGTGCTGCAGCCCATGGGATCGCAGAGTTGGACACGACTGAGCAACTGAACTAATAAACCCTTAAGCAAATGAATAAAGCAGCCTAATGAATTAGTGAATATCTACTTTACTTTTGATATGAATACTCTCCTAGATAGTTCTATAGCCATTTTGCATTGACGTATTTGCACGTGAAATTCTTTTCTGTATGCAGGAAAAACAACAGGAATATCTATCATTCTGTAAGCATGCACAGGGAAAGTACTGGAAGTGGAAACAAGAGAATTCAAGTCTTGCTGTATTAATTTGTTAAACACAGGCTTTACCACTGCAAGTCCTCTACCAAAGTTCCCAAACCAGAAATGTCTCTTATCTACTTGCAGATGTATAGTTAGATTGGGGTTGAAATTTAGGACAGTTCTAGGTTGCAGAATGATCTACTACTTTACATTTCAATGGAATATTATCTTTATATGTATTCCCAAGTCTACGTCTGCAATTAAGAAAAAGCACAGGTTTATTTAGAAGCCATGAAATACTTAGGTAAAAGAAGTCTTACGCTTACAAAGCTACTATCTTGAAACTCACTTTCATCATTATTCTTTACCCACTTATCATAAAAAAACTAGTTCTCAGATTCTGCACACAGATAGCTTTATGTAAAATATATAAACATTTGTTCAAATTGATACACAGATTGCATAAATATGGCAATTAAGCTTAAATTTACAGATGTGCATGTACAATGTTGTGCAAGTTATCACAATATTACAATTTCAAAAAGTATTCCAATGGAATCCAAGTAAAGCAGTTAGTGAAGATACCCATGCAGAATTTAAATATCTCAGAACAAAGTTTTTAAATGTCTTCAGTAAAAGTTCACACATTTAAAATAGTTTTATTCATTTTATTTGTATATGTCAAAATACATTTTTATTTCCAAAATAGTGGGTTTTGCAACTAGTTTCATGCAGAAACAAGGTCTGCTCAATACTACCAATAAAATCAATATAGCACAGTAGCTGTTCAGTTTTAGATACAAAGAATAAATAACCTAAATACAAAACACTAAAATACTAGAAACACTATTTAATCACTCTTCACAGGCATCCAAACGTCACAAATATGATCCTTAGCATGCCTAACTGTTGTGCAACCAGAATATGTTGCAGTCACTCGAACTGGTCAATTATCTGTATGTTTTACGTCCACGTAAGACCATGGAAATTCTCTATATTCAGACCCACCATTCATACAGTTCAAATGTAACCAAAATAAAATTCCCACAACTATCCTTGTACCTTTAAAATCAAGAATCCTGAGCTTGGTAGTAAGAGCATAACCTTATATCTTCATAAAACCAATCAAGAGAGGACTTAAAATCCTGCTTACCAAAACACCCTTTCCCAACCCCAAAGTAATCTAAAATAGGCAGTAGAACACAATGACCTTTTAAAATGAAGGGGTACAAATTCACATTTAATATAGTATACAATACAATCAATAATACAATTAGCTACTATAAGCTTTACAATGTACAATTTATTCAAATGGCTGAACTGTTCAGTGGTTAAGGAGACAGTTATGTGCCAGAAAGATATAGTACTTTTTGCATGGTTTAATGAAAATATAAAAGCTATTTGTCCAAATAAATGCCATCTTCACTATTTACTTGGTTTTGCTTTTCTTTCTTTCTTTTTTTTTTTTAAAAAGGCCACTGAAATGTATAAAATGGTCTGAACATGATGGTGGTATCAAAGTCAATGCCTCTTCACATGGCAATAACAGTGCATTTAACACGAACTCACGGGTTAAGTCTGCAAATGATTTTATAGCATTACTTTGGCTAGCACAACAGTTTTAGACAGCACTCAGATAAATATAGGTATGTGAAATGTGAAGCAATTATCTTATGCAACTTTAATTATGGTTGAATACTATCAAATGAAAACTGCAAATAAAAGTAAAAGCATTTTACAGTAGAAAACTTTTGTAAAGATAGGGCTCCACATAATGTGTTAATTTAAATCTTTATATCACTTTGTTAGTAAATTTTGTTCTTAACACTATTATGGAGTAGCCTACTTTGCATTAACAGACATTTGAAATAATAGTCAAGCATGCCATGTGGTGGTCTAAAAATCAAACAGTACACTTATTTATATATACAGCATCACTCAGTACCTGCTAAAATGAATGTGAAGGTTACAGAACCTAACATCTTATACTACAATAATAGAAAACAAACAAAAACAAAAAGTGACCAATGAAGGCAGAAAATAGGACTTAAAGAATCTAATCTCAATGGACTTTAAAGCATTCATAAAAGGAATAAATGCATATTGCACAAACAGTGAAAGCAAATGTTCCACCAAGCAATTCAGTTCCAGGTGGGGACAACAGCATTAGCCTAATATATGACAATGATTTCAGAGGAGCAAGTGTTCTTTTCTGTAAATGAGAAAGCTGTGAGACAACAGAAAGTCTGCCACATGAAGAGTTAGAAGGAAAAGATACAAACCCAAACTTAGATGTAAAGCAAAAAAAAAAAACAAAAAAAAAACAAAAATAAAATAAAATTAAATATTGAAAAACTGGAAACTGTGGCACATCAAAAAATGCTGAATAACTGTCTTCTGTGAGAGCTGAGTTTTTGTTGACACAAAAGTATTTATGTACAACTAAGGCTTACTGGTTAAATATCTGAGGCATATCTGGCCTTGAACACTTTCCTTATATGCTGGAGCTGTAAACAAGTTTTCTCAGTCATAAAAAAAATTCTTCTCAGCAGCTGCATTAACATGAAACAATGGTCTTGATACAAGAAAAAAAAAAAAAACAGAAAATTAAACAAAACTCCTAGATAAGAGGGCATTTGGCAGGATATCCAAAAATGACAGTCTCCAAGGATTCTTCCCAGGCTTCCAGTGACGGTCAATTATGGTCCACTGGGTTACTAACATGTGCAATCCCGTTACTTGCTGCTTTTTTATTTGGAAAGTTTGCTTATAACTCTGATCAAGGCCCCATTTTCATCTTTTAGCCTCTGGTTGTCTGCTTTCAGGTCTGGTAACATCTGTGAGAGGGAAAATAGAAGAAAAAGTTTGAATTCAATAGTGAGATTAAAGCGTTCCTCTTTAAATGTTATGTTTTTACCACAAGACACATGAACAAGCTTTGTCAGTTATATACACTTCTAATGACTAAAACATATATCAGGAAAAAAGAGGTCCCTCCCCACAATTTGTGAAGCTAATTAGTTTAATAAATGATGAAATGAAAGGTTTATTCTCCCGAAGTTATCAACTGAAATGTACTAAATCACTTGACATCATGACTCACAAGCATACCATATTAGAGCAGCCAAGGAAAGGAAGACTCTTTCTATGTTAGAATAGGCTCTTAAAGGGAATTCCTTTAAGAGTTTCTGTTAGCCTAAATTAAGGCCTTTTGCTTTGTTTATGTCAGACCTCAAGCCACACTGTTACTCCACAAGAAAACCCAACTATTTAGGGAAGTTTTGAGGGAATCAGACTTCTTTTAAATGATTAAAATTACTTAAATGATTTACCTTGTATTAAGTTTAAATGCCTAGTACATAATGTTTGATCCAAGATAGGTGCTCAATTAAATAATAAAGCAATTACTACTATCATTAGACTAAAATAATTTACAAGCCAAAGTAATAAGCCTGAATGTCTTAAAATATCCAAGCATAAAAAATACTACTAGTGTTTGGAGTAAACAGAAACACACACCCTTACACCAGAAAACCAGTAAGTTTTTTTTATAGACAAAGTGAAGGAGGGGGTGGAAATACTGTAAGTCAACTGGGTTCTCTACTAAAAATGATTCAAGTGACATGTGCTCCGCCAGATTTGATAGGAAATGGAATAGCTTCTATTTCGGACATTAAAACATACTTTCCAAGATAATTAGGTCTCTTTCCTCAGCTTTCAAAATGTACTAGGTTATGTATTTAGATAAAAGTAAAACTACTTGCAAAACTATCTTATGCAAAATCTTCATGAGAAGTTTAATTTTATGTGGAACCAATCAATTCTTAACCTGTGCTCAGAATGTATGGATATAAAATATAGTAATCTGAAGTTTATCTATTAGGATACCTCTAGAATACAGAACTGAGTGATATTAATTAAGATGGTTCTGACTGAAATGACATTATTTTGAAAAGCAGATAATTCATGTTTAATCTTCAGCTTCCACATATATTAATTATATATAAAATACATGTTACACTGTTTGTGTTCCATTTTCTAGTAAAGAATTTTAAAGTCATATTTTTAAGTGCTAAAAAATTTGTAGAGCCAAAAATGTGCACAAGCTTTGTAAAAGTGCAGGTAAGTCTTTTACCTAAATGCTGAGATCATTCCCTTAGTTTACTGCAGTTTATCAGTCACAATACACAATTAGTAACACTTTCTAACATTCTGAGAAGCCATGCACAATTAAACAGTTACACGACAAGTTCCAGACACAATGGCATTAATTTGTAAAAGTGAGCTCAAGACACGCTTACTAATACAAAAACACCTGCCTGGCTCTACTAAGAAGAAATGATGAAACTACAAATTATAGATTCACAGACTGCAGTTGCCTATAGAACCCTGAGCGCTTGGCTACCACTCTTGTCAAGGCCCTATTCTCAGTCAGCAGTCGCTCATTTAACTCTCTCAGAGTTTGAATTTGCTTTATTTGGTGCAGATTCTGCAGGAATCAGAACATAAAGAAATAGAAAATAAAAAATAAGAAAGTGGAAGAGTACAATGAAAATATAAAGAATCATAGGCAACAAATATAAGAAGAAAAAATTAAGAGTCTTAAGAGAATATCCCATGAAATTTATATAAGTAAACAGTGCAGTTCTAAAATTCCTTAGCAAACAAAATACACAAACAAAATCCAAAAAAATTTTCTCCAAAGTTATTCAATAATGTTCCAATAAGAAACCAAATAATTCAATAGAAAAACATTTAAATCTTAAAATTCTAATTCTATGGGCATAATATCCTATGTGTTAGTTCATTAATTTATAATATGATTATTTTATACAAGCCAATGTAATAAGAGGTAATCAATTAATTATATTATGCTTTTCTTCCTGAAAATAACGTACCTTCCAATATTCAAAACCAATCTATTTTCACAAGTGATGCAGAGTTCAATAAGCTGTACCTCTGTCCACTAATCTAATGTCCTTCATTTTCAAAGAACATTTTTGCATGATCCCCATTCACCATTTTCTCCCCAGGGAACAAAATATTTGAAATGTAAAGAATAAATGATACATCCCAAGTCTTAGTCAATATCATCTTATTTATTCTATACCTGAACATCAAAAGTGCCATAAAAACAGATTACCAAAAGAATTTGAGTTTTAAATACTTTTCTAGCTCACCTAAAACCTGACTTTAGGAAGAAATAGAAGCACAAGACATAGATAACTCACAAACTGCATAAGCAACTTTAAGAACAATGAATAAACATAGTATCTATACTAGTATTGTGAAATTTGAGTTTATACCACAGCACTGTTTACTTACTTTGAGCTCTTCTTCCATTTCAGATATTCTTCTTTCTAGAGCTCTTCGTTCCTAGAGGAATTTAAGGTATTAATGTTACTGATATAATTAATTATACTCTTAAATTTTCTTCTAAATTGTGAAACAGTGACAATTTAGAATAAAAAATCAAATCAGGAGCAGTGTAGAAAAAGATGTGATGCCGGTGATATGTAAAGAGCTTTCCAAAATTTGAGAGAAATAAATATGAAGATCATTACTTTATTACTTCCTATAAGCTCTTTCTTTAAAGCTTTGACCTTCTGGTAAAATGCCACATAACACTTTCAAACTGTTTTTAGTTTACATAAAACTAGGGATAGAGGAAACTGATACTCAAGACTGAAGACTGCACAGAAAAGAAAAAAGCAAAAAAAAAAAGCAAAAACTCACACAGATGCAATTACTCTACAGTGATAAGAAGCAAGAAGCAAACGTGAATAAAGTATGTGTATTTTAAAATTTCAAAATGGTCTAAAAGATTATTCCTCCACCCACAATGTATACTAGTCATCATTTGTCCAGTCAACTTTAGAGCTTTGTATTTAGTTTTATACTCTGTGCAGCATTAATGCAGTGAATCTAATAAAGAAGCAACTGTAGCATTTATTTTAAACCACTTCGTTTCAAAGAGTGACAGGCAAAGGCAACATACAGTATATTACTGCAGTGTGCACTTTTATTCTCCCTTAAATAATAAGCATTCTAGGGTGTTATGCAAGAAGCAAGCAGCAGTAATTAATGTGCTTAAAACTTTGGTTAGGTCATACCGCCGCGAAGATACTGACTCTTGCCGGTCACCTTTCAGATACAAACCATTTAAATTTAGTTTAATCACATTGACACTATTTCCAAGACATTCTTTCCCAGATTAATAATTAATGCTGATACTTAGTAAAGCAGTACATTTACTGTAAATGTTAAGATTTTTAGAGTATGTGATTTTAAAAAACAGATGGAATCCTATTCATAGGCTTATAAGTATCATGTTTTGCTATTATATTAGCATGTTTAAACATTATTAGGTAGACAAAAATGTTATTTTTGATAAAAAGAACTTTCTCCTAGTTAACAAAACAGCCACAACCCATTCATAAAAACCACTGCACTTCTCAGAATACCAGGACATGTAATATTTGATCCTCATAACTTTGTGCAATATCAGCAATAGAATATTTCCTCCAGCTGAATGGGAACACCCTCATCAGCCTTAATTTTATTATGTGTCTTCAAGATTTTAACTAATTAGTGGCAAAGCAAGACAAGAACACTGTATTGAATTGTCAAACTGCAAACTGTAAAGTTGCAGGCAATTTCTTCTATCTGAGAAACTTAACTACCATTTAAAAATAGGGTTAAGAGAAAAAAATGCATATAAAGTGCTTAACTCAGTGCCTGCCTGGTATGTAAGACAGTGCTAAATAAAAGTTAGCAGTTATTATTAGTACTGTGACTACAACATCTGTTAAACTGAGAGTAGATTAACTGCCTTGTAATTTATCTGCATTTGATAGGCAGAAAAAGAAGGTCAGGTGGGAATGTCAGAATATGAACATGGGTATATTATTTAAGTGCACAAGCCTAGATGAAAAATATCACTTATCTCTGCATGATAGGGGGATTTTACTTTCATCTTTGCTAAAATTTTTGTAATAAACACATTTTCACAAAAAATGAAATATTCTTTTAAAATGTGACTATCTCAAAAACAAATGATATTTTAAGTAAATGGTACTCTATGTCTTTCACCCCAACTATTAGTATGGATAAAGGAGAAATGAAAACATTTCTTTACTATTTCTACATATCTTGGATATAAAATTCCATACGTTATACTGTGATGTAATAACATTACATTTAATATAATAATTGATTCTAAAATTTAGCAATTACAAGTTAGATCAATAGGTTTTTAAAAAGCCTAGAACAATGATTTCTAAAACCTGATGAAACCATAATAAAACTAGTAGTTATTACACATTACAATTTAGATAGATAATTTTTTGACATAGATAATTTTTTGTCTATTATTCTGCATTTATATCACTTTTCTCCTTTTTGGGGGGATTAAAAAGGTAAATTGGCTATTTTTGAAATGGAATGGAAGAAAATATACCAAGTACTCTTGACTCTCTTTGATCGAGAGATCACAGCTCCACAGTATGTAACTTCTTCTGTGGCTGAAACCTTGAAAATCTAGCCACTGCTCAGTAGTATTACAGGTACTCTTTAAGCATTTTTCCATTTACTTTTGATCATTTATATACATCTTCAACTGTTCAGACTAAACTTGTGCAGTTATTCCTATGCCCACTGCCAGATCCCTGAGCAATAACAGTAATAATAAAGGGAGAAAAATACAAGTGAATATATCATAGCCAGACAAGAAACCGGAGAAAGAGATAAAATGGTAAAAGGATTTTCTTATACTAATTTTTTGGTTTAATAGAGCTTACTTAAGTTAAATATTTAAGCTCAAAATTAAATATTATTAAATTAACTTTAAAAAGAATTCAAAAATTTGGTCTCCATACCTTTAAAAACTTTAATAATGGAAGTATTTTATTTTTGCAAAGAATTAAACCAAATATATATATGATTAATGTGTTTTAAGTGTTTCACCACAGATAATCAGAGAGATAAATGGCATTTAAAAAATATCAGATTCCCTACCACAATGTGTATGTTTCAGAATGAAGATAAGATACGTTTTTTGGTACATTAAAAGAATAACACAGTAAATTAAATTTTATTTAACAAGGTAATTTTATCCTGTAAGACTTTATAAAGAAGATAAGCTAGAAGACATTCATAATCAAATTAATAAATATCAATTTAAACTAATTAAAACTACTGTCCATAAAAACAAAACTAAAAGAAAACCTATTGCTTATGCAAAAAATAAAGGGGGAAAATGATTATTTATTCATTAAGATCAACACTTACCCTTTTTTCCATTTCTAATAGGGACCTATCAGCGAATCTTTCTTGTCTCTGTAAGGAGATAAGAAACACAAGGAGATGTAAGTGCAATAAGGATGGGGGAAGGGAGAGGATCACAGCAACGTGTGTCTGTGCTGTGTGTGTGCGCGCGTGCGTCTGACTCCTATGCCCCCGTGGACTGTAGCCTGCCATGCTCCTCTGTTCTTGTAATGCTATTCAGGAGGAGTAATGATACAGTGTGAGTAAAGAAAAGAGAAAACAGAATTTGTACCGAAATTAAAACAAAGATTTATTAGAGGGATGCTTGGACATCCTCTATGTATCATTTGGCCTCAAGTCTTTACAGTTAAGCCGGGAGCAAGGATGGGTGACTACTGGGCACAAAGCCAAAACAGCCCGTCTTCCCTCCCGTGCTCAAGCTCTCTGTCTACATCACAGTGAAGAGAGGCTAACCCGAACGCTCAGATCCCAGGACCCTGACTGAAATGCAGTTTGGGCCAGATGGTGTGCCTCTGTACCCATGCAGTCTGACCTGTAAATTGGCCTCTTCCCCTCTCATGGCTCTCTTAGTCTTGCTAGCTCTTTCTCTAAACTTTTCTTTTCTAATTATCCACGCTCCAAAATTGGTAAGAAGGATCACATCTCTTGTCACTTGTAAGAAATCCCAGTTATATAGCTTTTCTCTTCCTGGCAAGCTCAGGTCTCATTTTTCTTTCTTCTGCTTCCTGTACTATACAGTCAACTATACAGATCTCGAGATGAAAAGGACCTTCGGGGCTTTAAGCCACATGTTGCATTCAAAACCAGGGAGCTGTGCATGTGGGTACTGAGCACAGGGATAGGAAAAAAGCAAGTGCTTAGTTTTTATTTACAATGACCTCTGTTCATACATTTCCCTTGGGATTCCTGTTCAATTTATTGAAAATGAATTCATCAAAAGGTTCATCCCCCAGATGTGCTGAATAACCAATTTAAAAAATTTACCAAGAACAGTTTTTGCTAACTACTTAACAAGAATCCTCTTTTATGGTCATTAACTACAAAATATCCTTTAAAAAACTATATACATACACACACACAAACAGTTCACTGTGATTAAGCACAACTTCATTAATCTGGCAATTCAAAAACATTTAATATAATTTTCTCTTCTGTCAATTCTTTCAACATTCATATTTTTGTACCATCAGGGTTTGTAAAGCAGTTACTCTTTGATCCTTCTTGCAAAATTTTTTTTTTATAGTTATAGTATATAAATAAAGATCTAATCATGGCTGTCTCCCCTTCACAGATCACAGCCTTGTCGTTGTGAAGGGGCTTGTGTAACTCAATGAAGCGATGAAACATGCTGTGCAGGGCCACTCAAGACAGACCGGTCACAGTGAAGAGGTCTGATAAAATGTGGTCCACTGGAGGAAGGAATGGCAAACCACTCCAGTATTCTTGTCGTGAGAACCTCACGAACAGTATGAAAAGACAAAAAAGACATGACACTGGAAGATAAGCCTCCACAGGTTGGAAGAGTGATTCCCAGGTGGCTCAGTGGTAAAGAATCCACTTGCCAGTGCAGGAGACGCTGGAGACATGGGTTTGATCCCTGGGTCGGGAAGATCTGGAGAATGAAACGGTAACCCACTCTGATATTTTTGCCTGGAGAATCGCATCAACAGAGGAGCCTGGTGGGCTACAATCTGTGTGGTCGCAAAGAGCTGGACACGACTGAGCACTTACGTATGCACACAGGTCACAAGATGTCCAATATGCTACTAGGGAAGAGCAGAGGGCAATTACTAATAGTTTAATTGACTATACAAAAGCCTCTGTGTAGATCACAAGCAGCTGTGGAAAATTCATTAAAAAAATGGGAATACCAAACTGTCGTATCTGTCTCCTGAGAAACCGGGAAGCCAGTCAAGCAATAGTTAGAACCAGACATGGAACAATGGACTGGCTATAAATTGGGAATTTAAATGGTCACTTTGCTTATTTAACTTATATGCAGAGTACATCAAGCAAAATGCTGTGCTGGATGAGTAACAAGCTGGAATTAAGACTGCCAGAAGAAATATCAACAATGTTAGATATGCAGATGATAGTACTCTAATGGCAGAAAGTGAAGAGGAACTAAAGAGCCCCTTGAAGAGGGTGAAAGAAAAGAGTGAAAAACAGCTTAAAACGCAACATTCAAAAAACTAAGACCATGGCATTTGGTCTCATCACTTCATGGCAAATAGATGAGGAAAGTTGGACAGTGACAGATTTTATTTTCTTGGGCTCCAACATCACTGAGGGCAGTGATTGCAGCCATGAAATCAAAAGACATTTGCTCCTTGGAAGGAAAGCTATGACAAATCTAGACAGCGTATTAAAAACCAGAGACATCACTTTGCCCACAAAGTCCGTACAGTCAAAGCTACGGTTTTTATAGTACTCACGTATGGATGTGAGAGTTGGACCAGAAAGAAGGCTAAGTGCCAAAGAATTGATGCTTTTGAACTTTGTGTTGGAGAAGACTCCTCAGAGTCCCCTGGACAGCAAGGAGATCAAACCAGTCAATCATAAAGAAAACCAATCCTGAATAATCACTGAAAGGACTGATGTTGAAGTGCCAACACTTCGGGCACCTGACCTCAAGTTGGCACTCACTGGGGAAGATACATACACGAGAAAGACTGAAGGCAAAGGCGAAGAGGGCAGCACCGGACAAGATAGTTAGATGGTGTCACCGACTCAACGGACATACATCTGAGCAAACTCGGGGAGACAGTGAAGGACGGGGAGCCTGGCGTGCTGCAGCCCATGGGGTCATAGAGGTCATGACTTAACGACTCAACAACAACAATCATGGCGATCCAATCTGTTGTTTTAGTTATTTTTATATATTTTAAATTTTAACTAAAAAGACTTTTGGCTACACCATGCAGCATGTGGTATCTTAGCGCTCTGACCAGGGACTGGACCTGTGTCCACTGCAGTGGAAGAGCACAGTCCTAACCACTGGATTGCCAGGGAAGTCCTCATACAACTGATTTTTAGGGGGGAGGAACCAACACCACCCAGCCTATGGGATCTTAAGTTCCTCAACCAGGGATCAAACGCAGGCCCTTGGTAATACAAGTGCAGAGTTCTAACCACTGGACCTCCAGGGAATTCTTAGTCTGTTATTTACATGTTTTCTGTTTTTTTGGTGCTTACTCTTTCTGGAAAAAGAAAAGTTAGGTATTCCAGTTGCTTATTATTAAAAATCAAATTCAGAATTACAAATGAGATGAGACTGTTTCTAACAATTCTGATATACTTATGATGTCTTTAAATTTATATTTTAATTGCTAGAAAAACAAAGGCTAAATATGCCACTTAAACAAGTGCAAATGAATAGTAAAATGCTAAAAAGATTGTAAAATGTTAAAAAGACATTAAACAACAACTGAAAGAAATTAAAAATTGCTGGAACAGTGTCAAATACATATAAATTACTAAAATGTTAAATGGAAAATTAGCATTTTATTGTTTTTTTTTTTTTCATATAGGGACAGTTCAGCAATTTTGTGATTCAAGTGCTAATATTTTAGGTTAAAAAAAAACAACTTTAATTTTTTTGGTAAATATTCCAGTTAAAGCTGTTAAAATCACATTGAGGAAACCTGGTGAATTGATATTTGACAAACTAATTATTCATCAACTGGTTTCTGGCAAATTAGCCTATTTCGCTCCCTTGGGGACTGTATAGGGAGCAGGGTGGCTGGACGAAGGCAGGATTCAACGAGTCTGTAGTCCTTGGCAGAAAACTATGAAACAGACCTAAACGTCAAGCTTAATTCTTTTCTTCTTTTTTGGTCATGTGTGCAGCTTACAGGATCTCAGCTTACTGGGCCCAAAGCAGTGAAAGTGTGGAGGCTCAACCACTGGACCACTAAGGAATTTCCAATTCCGTTTTTTCCTAGCTTGCTAAACATATCAGCCAATGATTGTTGAATTTTATAAAAAAAATTTTGTCCACAATCTACTATTTCAAGATTAATTCTTAGTAAGATGATTGTTTTCCTTGGAAAAATTCCATGCAACTACTGGAATTTTTCAGTGAAATCAAAACTTCCACTATATGTGTATTCATAAATAGTCATCAAAGAAATGTTTAAAAAAATACACAGATTCACAGTAGACTTAAATACTCAGGGTAAATAACTCAATAAAGTTGAAAAAAAAGTTTAACATTCTGTCACTTTTATTTTTACATGTACCCCTAAATTTTTGAAATGAAATTTACGCAGTGTTTCCAACTAAGATATTAATTTTGAATATTTACTCGGTATCTCATACTCTAATTCAGTGACTTATTTTTCTGACCACAGTCAATGGGAACAGAAATTGGTACTTGAGCCAAAGACAGCTTGCAATAGTTGTCCAGTGTCCTGTGAAATGGATACAAATAGAACCATGGGCACTAACGAGACTGCTTCAGGCTGATGGTAACTGGCTAATTCTATCAGTTCTCCTCTCTTGTAGAGTCTGAATGAGAAAGTTACAGGAAGCATTAGACGACAACAGAGCAGGCAGAAAAGCAGAGAAACGTTACAGAGAAGGCAGTGAGCAGGGTCACCACAGTGACACAATACTGCAGTAGGGGCAACGGTTGTTTTTATTTAGAAAGTATGATGACCAAATGTCTAGAACTAAAGCTATTTTCAGGGAACTAGTTATGATATTTTGTGGCGGCTCACTAAGCTATTAATGCAACCTAAAGAATGATGACATTCCAGTTTACCATGAGACTTAAGTGTAAGCCAGCAAGTTTAAACTTGTGTGACATTCCAAGTTTTTATGACACCTCACTAGGAAATGTGTTCTTGTTCTACAGTATTTCTCTGTGTATCTTCAGAGTAAACTTTCATTACCTGAGTCTTTGGTCAAAGTAATGTCTCATTTATAGAACTGAAGATGCCATTCTAGATGACTACTTTCAAACTAGATTCTAAAAGTTTACCGTAGAAATGTGTTTATGCTACAAAGTCTTATGTTTAACATTAAACAAGTTGATTTCCTTATAATTTATAGGACTCCTTAGAGCCTTTAACATATAAATCAGCCCTGCTAAATCTCCAAGATACAGAATATACAGTATTTCTCAGTTACATGGGTCACAAAGCTCTTTTTTTTGTTTTGAAGTGGAGCAGGAGAAGAACGAGGAGGAAGAGGAGACAGCACTTATTACTATCTCCCAGAACTAGTGCTTTACGAAAAAAGAGCTTGGAAAACAATTCTTAGATCATACACATCCTAAATCCTATATACAAGGCTAGGATGTATATGATCTAAGGCCTAGTTCTGCTTGGCTATCCAAGTTTCTTTTCTAAAATTATCTCTTCCAGGTAGTTATTTTCTTTCAGAATTATTATTAAATCAGTTTTTTTTTAACAGTAAACATTCTAAATGAATAAAAATTATTATAAAAAATTTTTATGGCTTTAAGAAGACTCTGTAATTATTGCTGTTATTTGCTAAGTTGTGTTTGACTGTTTTTGTGATCCCATGGACTATAGCCTGCCAGTCCTGTAGCTCCCCTGCCCACAGGATTTCCCAGGCAAGATTACTGGAGTGGGTTGCCATTTTCTTCTCCAGGGGATCTTCCTGACCCAGGAATTGAACCTGCATCTCCTGCACTGATAGGTGGATTCTTTACCACTGAGCTCCCAGGGAAGCCCAAGATTCTGTATAGATGCCCTTATTGCTTTCCTACATTTGGTATGTTGGAAATAAAACATTTTAAATCCTTCATGTACTAAAATATAGATTAAAAGGCTTAAAAATACTTCGACTTTCCACCATAAGGCTATACTTCTATATTAGAAAAAAATAAAAAGTTACTAGTAAGCTGTATTATCTTGATTCCTTATTAATAAATAAGCTATTATCAATAACCAAACTTATATCCAGAACACAAGAGAAAATTACAATGCAATTTTTAGATGAAACAAATGACATTACCTCTAGAGTAACAAAGAGGAAAGAAGGCACAAACCTGGGTGGCTTTCTCCAGCTGCAACTTAAGATCCGTCAGCTCCATGTTCGTGTCATGCAGCTGTGCCTTCAGCTTTTCATTCTCAGCTAGAATTTGTTCGTAAAGCTATACAGATTAGTGGAGAAGGACAAATTACTTTCCTGCTTTCTTACTATTTTAAGAAGATTTCCCAGTGATCACTTTGTAATATTAAAACAGGAAGATTCATGTAACACATGAGCTATTTAATAAATACATTAAATATATTGGATTTAAATGCTTTGTGGTCTCAAGGCAGAAACTTTTGGTTATGCAGGCGTCTCTGTCCCACATAAATTCTTCAAAAACTAGTTCCAGGATTTAAAACTTATGACTAAACTGAAAACCATGACTTTTCAGTTTCCATTTAAAAAACTCAGTTATCTGATAAAGAGGGACCACATACCTGTGCAGCGACCACAGCTGAGGTTATAAATAGCCGTTGTGATCTTTATTTGGGGTCTGTGAGCTTTTCTGCCTATCATGCCCTCTTTAATTCCTGACACTGAGATGGAACATCAGTGGCATTTATCATTATACTTGTATTATTTTTACTAAAGTTAAAAGGAAAGTGACCGATTTCTTAAATATTTTTAACACTTGAATCTACTACTTCTTTTTCCCTCATCTCTAATATTACAACCACAGATGGCTACATTTATCTCTTACCTAGATATTTCCATTATTAGAATTGCTCTTGACCTCCTTCTAATCTACTGTATACAAAGCAGCAAGAGTTAAATTTTCAAAATGACAATCTCTACCAGCCATACCAAAAATTTAATTACTTCAATACATCATGTACCTTCCCACCATCAGGCTGGTCCATGTGCTTGTAATTCCATCTGAAACATCTTTTTCTCCCATTTTGCCAGTTGATTACTAATTGTCTTTCTGTTCTTGGCTGAATTTTTACTTCTTTTGTTAAAAATTAATTTAAAAAAAAACTGAAGGATAGTTTCTTTACAAAATTGTCTTAGTTTCTGCCAAATATCAACATGAATCAGCCATAGTTATAAATATGTCCCCTCCCTCTTGAATTGCCCTCCCAGCTCCCTCCCATCCCACCTTCTAGGCTGTTACAGAGCCCTGATTTGAGTTCCCTGAGTCACACAGCAGATTCCCATTGGCTGTCTATTTTACACATGGTCATGTACGCGTCCATGTTTCTCTCTCTATACACCCCACCCTGTCCTTCTCCTCCCCTACCCCGCTCTCCAAAACCGTAAGTCTGTTCTCTATGTCTGTGTCTCCACTGCTGTCCTGCAAATAAGTTCATCAGCACCGTCTTTCTAGACCCCACATATATAAATGCTTAATATGAATAATTGTTTTTCTCTTTCTGACTTATTTCACTCTGTATAATTAGCTCTAGGTTCATCCACCTCATTAAAACTCACATGCATCCCCTTTTTATGGCTGAGTAATATTCCACTATATGTATGTACCACAGGAAATCTACCCTCAGACCCTGTCACTTCCTTTTGCTATATACTTTTATAAAACTGTGTCTTTACTTCAGCATAATGGTTTCAAATTTAGAAATTATCCACTGATTTGTATGATTATATGATCAAGTCTGTCTGCCTACTCCATGGAAGATACTCATCAGAGCAGGAAAAGTATCTCCATCTCCACTGGCCACAAGTAGAACTTCACTACTGAGTTCACTTCAGTGTTCAGTTCTTTACTGAACAAATGACTGAATCTTATTCCTAACGTAAACTGACCCCTATCTTCCTTCTGTTGATTTTACTTTCTTAATGGGCAATTTAAGATAGCTGCCAAATTTCTCTGACATGTACAATTACTACAAACCTTTCTTTTCCTTCAACCAACTTCATTATATTTATTCAAAGTTTATAAATATGAAGAATCTTGATCTTCAAAATTCTAGATTGCTTTGTTTCCAGGACTTATTTCTTAATTAGTTTCATCCTTGATAGCACCTGAACTATCATTAAGTTTTCAGTTACCTAGAAAATATTATATTTTCTTGGGAAAAGTCATATTCTTTGTTTGGCTGCTTCCTGGTAACAAATAAAGAAAAGATGGCTCTCTCTCTCACACACACATGCACCCTACCCACTCTGCTCCAAATCTACTCAATGTCCCTTTCAGCTCAACCACAGGACTGGCCTAAGAAACGTGAATGTGCAGGTGGTCCTGGTTACTTTCCCCTTTCCTTTAAAAGGCAAGCAAATACTATTCATATTCTACTTACCATTAACTGCCAAAACTGAAAAATTAAAGTTAAGTCATTTTAAGAAAGTGCTTTAATTATGAGTTTCCAGGAGTAATATCCAAACATAAAAATCTCAACAGAGATTATTTTTAATTAAATATAACTGAATAACCCAAGTACCTTTTTAAAGTCAGTTGAATCATCCTTTTCTAGCCTGCTACTGTAAGGTTTTCTTTCTTCTGAGTAACCGTATGATCCAGAGCGACCCAGCAAGGAATCATACCGATCACTAGCTGATGTAGAACTGAGTTCATATCTTCAAAAGATGAGTTTAAGTCAAAATCTTCATTATAGGCTTTCACATATTAACATGCAACCTAGTATATTTAACTAGATATTCCAAAATAGTAGATAATATTCTCCTTTATCGGTTATCTAATCAACTTTCATGATATGTAATAAATAAACAGCAAGTTATTTTTAATACTAACTTCCGTTGTTTAAGGAGGTGGTTCAAAATTCTCTATATCTGAAAATCAAAACTGGTTTTACATCATGATAAATTATTTCAACAATTTAAAATCATATATTTTTTTCACATTTTAACATCTCTGAAATCAGAACATGGCTTACAACTGATGTGTATTACAGTTTAATTGGTAGCACTTTTCCTTTAAGTGGCATATGACTGTATTTTAAAATTAGTAACACTGTAGATGATGAATTAACTAGAGTCTATCCAGAGTAATAAACAGACCGTACTATGCCATTTTATATAGGGGATTTGCACATCTGTGGATTTTGAAACCCACTGGGTTGGGTGGGTCGGATAAGTTCCTGGAACCAAATCCTTGGAGATACTGAGAGATAACAGAAATAGGTTTGTCCTAAGGAAGAAGAACATATCTCATTTGAAGATGAGGATCTTCTTATTATCTGGTTCTGAATTTGGTTTTTTTCTGATAAATGCTAATGCCTCCACATTTCAATTCAAAAGAATCATGAGAATATAAAAATTTGTCCTTGGTTTTACAAGGCTTTGGTTAACAATTATTGGCAAGAGAAGAGGAATAGAAATTAGACTCAAGTATTAATATATTGGTGGAGGTTCTCTGAAAAACTGAACAATATGAGCTAGATGACACTTTTTAAAAGTGTCTTCATTGGCTTTTTCTTTTTTAACCTGAAGCAGGGATAAGGGAGAAGAGTCTGAGTACCTGATGAAATAAATTTTTGGTGGATTTCATTGGCTTCTAATGTGAATAATGAGATAGTTAATGTTGAAGTAACTTAGGAAGCTTAAGAAAACTATCACTGTTGCAAAGAAAATCTTTCTTTCAACTGAACTAGAAGTAAAGCCTCTGATGAAGAAAGTTATTAACACGTATCAGGTCATCTAAATATCTATAGATTTTTTTATTACTAAAATAATTCTATCAACTTAAAAAATTTATCAATATCTAGCAACATATTTTTAGAAAGGATAAAATGAGAAAAAGATCAATTAAAAAAAAAAAGTAAAACATACCTAGAAATGGAATCCGTCTAAAAAGAGAAAAACATAAGGGAGGCTAAATTTTTATGCTTTAAATAACTCACTGATTAATCAAGAAAATTCAACTTCAATACTATTTTCACACTAATAAACTAATACATATCTAATCTATGCACTTTAACATCAATGTGGTTGTTTTGTAAAGAAATTCTAGAAAAAAGTCACCATATATTTCTACTCGTCCAATACTATACAATTATATTTCTCAATTTAAATTCATATTTTGTGAATTTCTACAAATGACACTATAATTAGGAGGGAAAAAAAGAAAGACTAAGACACATACCCATAACTTACAATTTACTTAGCAGGAGAAAGTAACATATTTACATTAAGAAATGCATGTTTATTATGTGACATCTCAAAGCAACTATCTTTCCCATTTTTCTGTTTTTGAGGTAATAACAGGAGAGACCAACAAATGAATACTAAAGTATTTAATGTACAACAGAATATACATATTTTGCTTACAATTTATTTTCTGGAAATCCAGCTATACAATCCTTCAAACTTTAGCAATGAGGGCATATAATTTTCTCAAGCAAGTGGTATGCTATACTGAAGTTCCAAAACTCTTCTTAATGTAAATGGTGAAATGATTAATACGATAAAATAGTCTCAATGGAGTTAAAGACTTTTTTGGGGATTAGCATCTTTAGCTCTTTCTATTGAAACATATAATTTTCTATAAAGTAACTATTCAGAAATGGCTTAATTTCTGAATTTTAGATATCTGAATTTTCCCATTATATTTACCTTTAAATGTCTTGTGAAATCACTGGGTTCCTTTGGAACTGTTTTTGTCTCATTCAGATTAAAAATGTCTTACTAAAGTCTATTTAGGTTTCCTTTGCAAAACCAATTTTATACTTGCTGCCCATTTTTTTTTTAATGTAATGCTTTACCTTATTGATTTATTCTTTAGTTTTATAATAATTATCAAATTTGAAGTTAAATTTCAATTTTCACAATATAATTCAAATCCATAAGCTGCTGAAAGAATAGATTTTGAAAGTTCCTATCACAAGAAAATAATTGTATCTATGTGTCTATGCGTGGTGATGGATGTTTACTGTACTAAACATTTCACAATACACAAATATTGAATAATAATGTGCAATATTTTATTTATCAATTATATCTCAATTAAAGAAAGCAGAAGCAAACAAAAAGATGTTATTTATTCAAATTCTGGAAAATATCCACATGTGAAATAAAATGTATACATATCGAATGAAAACATCACTTCTCACCTCAGTTTGAACTCTGGTTCACTGGTTTAACTTAAAGAATAAATAAAAACTTCAAGTAGTCACAGAAATCACTCAAATTCTATTTTTTTGTCTTTAAAAGTCATGGTGCTATTGATTATGTTACATATATATTTGTTTTTGGCCATGCTGTGTGGCATGCAGGATCTGAGTTCCCCAAGCAGGGATGGAACACATGCCTCCCGCAGTGGTAGTTTGGAGTCCTAACCACTAGACTACCAGGGAATTCCTGGTTATATTTTTAAAAAATTTTAGTAAAAAGCACATAAAACAAAAAATCATCCAAGTCACTTTTAATTAAGAGTATAGTTCAGTAACGCTAACTATATTCACACTGCTGTGTAACAGCTCTCTACAACTTTTTTCATGTTGCAAAACTAATTTTATACCCACTAGACAAATCTCCATACCCTCCTACTCTCAGCTCCTGGAAACCACAATTCTACTCTGTTACACACGAGTCTGAATACGTTGGTGAGAGCGCAAGCGTGTCAGTTGTATCGGACTCTTTTAGACCCCATCAGCCACAGCCCACCAGACTCCTCTGTACGTGGAATTCTCCAGGCAAGAAAGCTGGAGTGGGTTGCCATTCCCCTTTCCAGGGGATCTTCCCTACCCTGGGAGCTGGAACCTGGGCCTCCAGCATCGCAGGCAGATTCTTTACTGTCCGAGCAACAGGGAAGCCCGTGGAATCACACAGAAGGTGTTTTCTGGTGACCTGTTTTATTTCACTTAGCATGATATCCTTGTGACTCCCTGTGTTTTTCCCTCCCGTGTGTTTCAAAAATGTTTTTCTGAGGTAAAAATATCCTTTAAGTTCTTCTGACTACAATACCATAAGATCATATACCATACTACAACAAAGTTCCTCTATAATTCCCCATCTCTCAAATGCCCTAGATAACTACTGTTAATCTTTTCTGTATACATATCTATGTGAACACATAAAGTATCTATCCATACAAATACATTTACTCTATTCCCAACTAATAGACATTTTGAAAGTTTTTAATATTCTGCTTCAAAAGCCATGCTGCTATTAACACTTTAGACTTATCTTTGCACACGTAAGTCATTTCACTGGAAATAAATTTCTTGAAGTGGAACTGAAAAGCGAAGAGGCATGAACTTTTTCTGAAGGCTTCAGATTTGTGTTGCTCAACTGATCACTCAAGAAAATAAATTTATTATAGCCCCAAATTGTTATATGAGAATGCCTATTTCAAAAGTAATCATGCCAAACCTTTGTCGATTTCACTTTGGTATTATTATGTCTTTGGTTATTAAAGAGAATAAATGTTTAAGCTTATTGGCCATTTGTATTTCTTCTTTTGTTATGTTTATAAATTTCATGGATTCTGCTTCCAATTTTTTTTAAACTGTGTCTTTTAAATAATACAGATATTGACCTTTTAAATGCTATAAAAGAGGGCTACACTATTTACTTTTAAGTGAGCAAATGTGTCTCAATTTTAATAAAGATGTCTTTTTTGTAATTTTCTAGCTTTTCATGTTTAAATAATCAAATCTATTAATCCTTTCTTCACAGTTTCTTGCCATGCTTCCTTATTTAAATTTTTGATTTATTACTAATGTTCTTCACATGGTAGAAGTTTTACCATCCAATAGTTTAATGAAAGCAAATCGTAACAGCCTAAGCAACATAAGCCCCATTTATGGAATAATGAACCACACTATGATAAAGTAATTCAGGTTTTCTGGATCAAATTTTATTTTAATTTTTAAAAAATTTATATCCTAAAAAAAAAATTTATATCCTGAAGGTAGTTTCAAAGGCAGTTCAAAAAATTTAACAACTTTCTGGTTAACTTAAGATTTACTTTTCTTTGAAGCAAAAAAGTATATGCCACAGTCATTTTTTCAATTTGGTGAACTTGGATTCTATAACTGAGTAAAAGTTTTGTTATAAAACACACTTCTGAGGTAGTGATAACACTATTTCAAAAATGCACAGAATTGGGTTGATCATACTTTTTCACAGAAAAGCAAGGGCTGACACTACAAATTTTCATAAGAGAGCAACTCTCACTTGGTGGAAGACACTACAAGTCAGTGTCTTAACCTCCACTCTCCCTTTCTCTCAAGGTACAGCAGTCACTAAGTTTAGGTGAGGTGGTATGCAGCCCATATTCACAGCAAAACAGCTGAACTATCTCAGTGGAGGGCCTCATCTGGCCTAAGCTAATTACCTAATTCCAGTCCTATGTTGTAAAGCAGCCTGAGGATGAAGCTGACACAGAGGGTTGTATAATATAATTGACATACAGTAAATTATCTTTGCTTAATCCAGTTCAAGCTGAGTGTTGTGTTGCTTGTAAATTAAAAAATGCTAGCACAAAGCAAGATCTAAATAATGCTCTATTTAAAATGAACAAAAAGTACTTAAATTGTTTGGAACTAAGAATTTTTTTTTCCCATAAAAACAATATTTTACTCAATGTATATCATATATAAGTTTAACAGTAAAACTTAAATATAACATATATCAATATGCTTCAAAACCACAAGTTTGGAAGCCAGAAAATCTTTCCCCTCCTACCCCAGCCTGGTGGGACCAGGGATCTGTGTGATATGGTGGTGAGAAGTGTCAGCTGGAAATGGTTTACTAATTCTCTCACTCTTGTTTATCTGTCCACTGTTTCTCCTTGAGAGATGAGAATTCATAGGGTATCACTGGGCAAGGAAGATGATGGACAAGTTTACAGAAAATAATAAACAAGAGACATAGGTGAATGGGGAAGTGCTGACAACTGACAGGCAAAGGGTTTTAAAATTACAAAACTTGTCCTTCAAAACATTCACCCTTGGAAGTAACTGATTCTTCAACTTGTCTGGCTACCTAAAGATAAAACAAAAAGTACCTTTTGGGTCAAAATACACAAACTTGGTCCTAAGAGTAATGTCCACAGTCACCTAGTACAGGGAACCAACTTCTGGTCACTTCACATTATTGCCAATCCCAACAACTAAAAGTAATCTTAACAGCTCTACATAGGAATGTCAAACCAAAATGAAGAAAATATGACCAGAATGCTGTTTCAGGCTGGACACTGTTCAATTTAAAACATTAAGGCTAACTCATATTGTACAATCTATTCCCATGTAACAAAGTTCTTCCATGTATGTCAGCTTTGTGCAGAGCCAAACAATAGAAACAGAAGGGGAAAAAACAAGTGGGAAGGAACCTTGGTCATTTGATAGCTATGCAAACTTGTCAATCAAACTTGCCTCAATTTCTTTAATCAGTACTGGGGTTGAAGGGCAGGGAAACTTTTCCTGAAGATTACTGGAAAGATCAGCAGTGATAAAGAATGTAAAAGTCATTTAGAGACACGAAATTTCTCAACAAATGTAAAGAAAGTTAAAATGACCTATTATCTTCTCCAGAATATAACTCCACTGTTAACAAAACTAAAATCTGGGTCTGGTAAGGTATGCGCTACTTCTGGATAGCCTTTAGATAATTTTCTTTGGTCAAAGGTGTAACAGGTAGTCCCTGCTTAAAGGCAAAAAGTGACAATAGCATTCAATGTGTTTTGCAGCAAGCCATTATAAAGGCAGAACTCGTTAAGGAGTAACAGAGGCCTCTCCAAGCTCCTTCCTGGGAACTACACTCAGTTTACGTTGCCATAGCTTTTGACTGTGTGCACTGCAATTTATCTCAATTTACGCCATGCAACCGTTAGCAAGATGTGTTGTAAGGTAATTCCCTCTTTGCTTTATGTGGCTTACAAAAGATTACTGAACAGTCTACTTTTGGAGAGCAGTGGAAACCTGTTTTCTTGTTTTTTCTTTTCAACTTTGAAGGCTAACATACATACAATAAACTAGATCCACTTAGAGTATACAGTTTGATGAGTTTTGAGAGTTGTGTATACCCAAAAAAACCCTCTCAATCAGGATCTAGAGCATTCCCAGTGTCTCTCAAATACTCTTTGTGACCCTTTCCAGTCCCTCCACGCCTGATTCCAGAAAACCACTGATGGTCTATCCCCAGCATGCAGGTACAGTGTACAGTAACTGCCTTATATGAATAAATATAAACAAAAGTAAAAAGCAATCCTTAAAAATACAAATATTTCTAAATACAAAAAATAATGCTAATTACCTGAACTTCTTTCTTATTGGATCCCTCCTCTGTATCTGATTGTTGTTCTTGTTCATTTTCATCACTCTAAAATAGATAATCAATTTATTTTAGAAAAGTAAAGATAATTTTGAAACAGTTAATATTTAAATATATTAAGGCTTTTCTAATTTAAAATGACTTGGGAAAACATAACAGGAAAGGAAAACTGGTTTCTAAGTGGGAATTTTTCTACCCTCTTTACAGGAAGCCTGTTTTATCTGCATAGTACAATCTCATTAGGTTAGCATATATAGTGAAGAAAGACCATTTACCTAACATTCTGATTTAAGAAACACATTCATACTGGGGATGAGGATGCTGGAGGTTTAATGTGAAAATATGATACTCAATTTTATATTGTGATGTTATTGCATGTACTTTAATAGTCAAAACAGATACTATTTAGCTGCCCAAATATAATGAGGCAGCAAAAATAGGAAACATTAAAAAGAAAAGCTCTATTCTATAAGCTTGGTTAGATTTATATAGCAATCCTATTATGTTTAGGTAGTTTAGCTATCTAGCAATTTCTTGGGATTTTATAGCACACCAAATAGAAAACACAGGGCTTGGTAGGCTAAAAGCCTAGATTCAGCCAATGGGAATATTCTATCAGAAGGCTTAAAAACTCAATAAACCTTAAAGGGTTAAAAGAAAAGGGAAATACACAATCAACCCATCTGGCTCAGGCTCAATATAAAAATACAACAGACTTTAAGACTAAATCATCCTATTTCAGGCTGGTACAGCTATTTTCAGCTCTGTGAGTTAGGGTAAATTTAATAAAGAAAATTCTGAGTCATAGTTACCTCATCCATAAAGTGGGGATAAAAACATTACAGAATTGTCCTAAGGATTATAGAGGATCTTTATACAACCTATCGCGTGGTATCTAGCAAAAATGGTATTTGAAGTTACTAAGCAAACAAGAGAAATCAATTGCTGCTACTACTAGCATTATTTATTAATATAAATGTATTAACTCCACAATATGAACTGGTTGTCTTTACGCATTACTGTTTCACGGAAGAATACAGGAACTGAAAATTTAAAAAATGGGGAGGCTCAGAGTTCTTGAAAAGTGGTAACTAAGAAAGAAAAAAAAGGAAACCTAAATAATAGCTTGCCTAACCATACACCACCCTTTCTTTGACAGAGCCCTTTTTGTAAACTGTTTGATACAGGTTCAATCATGTGGCTATGGAAATGAAAGGACATTTGTGCTCATGGCTGATTAGAACACAATTCAATGCAAAGTCAAATTAAAAAAATGACTATTGCCTATACAGATCTCAGGAACAATCATTATAATGCTGGTTACGTGTATGACTCTAGAAAGTAGAGTTTTGAAGGGAGAGCTGGTCCAAATAAAACTGGGGAAAAATAAATACTGTATAAAAAAGCTTTGCTTACTAAACACCTAATACATATAAGTTATTAAAAATGTAAGAATTTTTAAGTAGTAAGAGTTACTAAGATGCTAAGGCTGACAGGCTTTATTATTATTATTAAAATATTACTGGGCAATCAATTAAAATCAACCAGACATCACATACGTCCTGACAAAGGAAAAAAACACCCTGCCAAGAGAATACTGAACCAGAATCTGATCATTTCTACACCTCAAATTACCAATTTATAGGAAACACAAAAAACTACATGTATGTGTTCAACTATACTTCAGGAATATAACCCAATTCATTAAAAAATAATTGTAAGAAAAAAACGAGGTGGAAGGAGTAACTGATTTTTTAAGAGACTTGAAAGAAAAAACTAATAATTTACGGTTCTTATTTGGATGCTAATCAAATCAGCAAAAAATAAAAATATAACAGACCATTTATGGCAATATGAGTCTGGAGGACATTAAAACTGACTGTCTATTCAATAGTAAGGATTTATTGTCAATTTATTTAAAATAAACATGATCATGGTATTATGATCACTCATTAAAAGATAATATTTATGTTTACTTTTAAAAAATAAAATTTTAATATTTTAAAAAGGAGTCCTCATCTCTTGAAAATTCATACTGAAATTTTACGTATATAGTATTACTAAAATTTTCTTCAAAATAATTGGGAGTTGGAAAAGTGGTAGAGATTTAACTTAACAATGAATATCTGGGGTAGGATGATATACTTCTTTATGTTTAAACGTTTCTGCACTTTTTTTCTGGAAAAAAAGAAAAGGCTAAAAAAATAATCCCCCAAAACAAGATTAGTTTCGCCTTTCTGAGATATATGTTGTATTGAAATAGGATAAATTTCACATTAACTGTGTTATCCCATAGTTCTTCTTTCTCTTGCAAATGAACAGCAATGTCAGGCAAATAGAGATGAAGAAGAAAAAATTAAAATTTATAAGATTGCAGCCATTATTTCTTTATTCCAATACTGGGACAGTACTCTTGCTTGTAAGTAATGTCAGAAATCTGAGTAGTTGTTTATTCTTAAAAAGAAAAACTCTTCTGATTTAAATAACTAGCTCAAACACATAGTGATGACCTAAAGAATACATAATCTGAGACATACAAGAAATTATTAGTGTACACTCCTAGAAATATTAAGAATATATCAATTAGTTATATTTTAACAGGCTCTCACATCTTGTGTCCAAAATGAAACTCCTGTTGATCTTCTTTTTTCTCTTGGTCGCCGTCGTTCTCTGATTGATTTAGGTTGTGATTTATCTTCCCCCTCTTTTTCTTCTTCTTTCTTTTCTCCCTCTGTTAAGGCTGAAAATTAATCATATGGCAGCAATGCATCTTGAGAGTATTTGCAAAGTAAGTATGAAAACAATTCTAAGTCAACCTCTGTGAAAGTTTCTGAAGTTCTCTAATCAGAAATAATTTTTGTCCCCTCATTGCTCCTATAACACTTGGTTTAAACATGTCTGTATCTCCCATTTGATACACTCTTGAAATCAAGAACTAATTTTAATTACTTCATTTTTCTAGTGCTTAAAACAAAAATTTTGCTTAAAAGACACATTTCATAATATTTGCTGAAGAGAAAATAAATGAATCCTATCAAGAGAATGGGGCCCTAGCTATTAATGTCTGACAGGAAAATAGGTATCATACCCAAACAGTTTGTAACAATGGAACAGCTAGTAGGCATACAAATTTATCAGCTTCTACCTCTACCATTCCCAGTCCTCACTGGGCAGTAGAATAAATAGAATTTTCTTTTAGTATCTCAGAGCAAACCTTTTTATCCCCCCTGGGAAAAAATTATCTTTTATTAAAAACAAATCAATGTAAAGTCTTCAAATTTGTTCCCTTCCTGGGATAGTTAAAATATCCTCAGACTCACATACTAGAAGACTATTAGAACCTCTGGATATGCTTTAAAAAGGAGACATATGGAGCAAAGTAATGCTAGAAATGATTATCAAAAGGCTCCTGTGTCATCAGCAGGCTCCTTGTCTCCTGTGAAGAAAAAGCAGCAAAAGAAACTCCAAAATTCTAGTATTAAGAGGGGTTTAATGTTTTTAGAATTAGTTTAGTGCAAAGGCCTCAAACCCCAAAACCAACAGTGGTCATCCAGGTTATATAAATGGGTAAAACCAATGGGTCAAACCAGGAGGGCACAACTCCAAAGGGCCTGCTATTTCTCAGCTCTAATCAATTGTTGATGTGAGAATTCAGATCCAGTGTTGCCATATCTTCCAACTTTTTAATAGAAGACAAAAATTTGAACTTTTATGCAAATATCCATAATTTAAATGTTGGCTCAAAATTTTTATAATTATTATACAGGCCTCACACTCAAAGGTTTAAAGAACTGAAATATTTCAATGGCCAACAAAAGGAAGAGTCAGCTTGCAATTGAAAAAATTTTAATTTTCTGAAGCTTACTCCTATAGGACTACTGATATTATCATGACTATCTGATTTTGCTTTTAAAATATAAAATACCTACAATTGGAATACTTTTATTTAGCACCCATTTCTTAAAGTAGGAGTTAATTAGTGTTTATATAGGAAGTTTATATGCAATAATAGGAAATGTTAATAGTTAGCATCAACATGCCAATATACAGCTGAAAAAGAAACCTATTTTTCAAGGAATAAACATAGAAATAATTTTGGCAAGGAGTTTATACTTACATGTTAAATGATTTTTAAAACAATTTGACAATAAACAGTTAAAAGATGTGATCTACATAATATGCAAGAAATGACTTGAAACATCACTAAACTGTTCTTAGAAATAATCACCCCACCAGGTTTTCTATGTTGATCTACATAAAGATTTTCGAAGTCTTAGGCAATAAAGATACATGTATCAATGCCAGATCATACAATTTTCTGTTTTTATTTTCTACTTTTCTCATTCTCAACCATCATATTCTCTCTGGTTAGGTAGAACTGAGTCCCACTTTAGGATGTTGGTTCTTTTCTGTTAAACTATATTAATTAGGAAAAACCAACTCAAAGAATTATCTGAAGGAAACAAAGTGCTTTCAAATTTTCGTTCTTACCTCTTTCATTTTCCTTTGTTAATCCTCTGGAGTAGGCAGAAGTTATACCTACAAGACTATTTGGCCTGTTTAACTGACTTGAAGCATAAAGTGAACTGCTCATTGTAGAAAGTAAAGAGGAGGGAGTGGTTGAACTTGAAGTTGATACTGGTCTGTAGCGTTGATAAGTCTGTGAAACGTGAAAATTAACACCCATTTGTAATATTAAACACAGATAAAAACATAAAATATTTAAGTTCATTTTAAAGGAAAAGTAATGTTCTACTCATGTCAAAATAATTAAGACTTCCAGTTAAAACCCTTATGAGTAATTTGTATGTGGTTTGTTAGAAATAAATCTCTTGCATTCTGAGAATCACAAGAACCACCCATGCCATGTGACCTGCTGTGCTGCTGGCATATTATTACCTCATCATATGTTCTGGAGTACTTTTGTTTGTACTCATCTTCTCTAGATGTTTCTGACTCCTTCTTTTCTTCCTGTTTCTCTTTATCCTGTTTCTCTTTTTCCTCTTTGTCTTCATTTTCTTGTTCTCTGGTTCGGGTGGAACGACTCCTCCCTATTGTTTTTTCAGCTTCCTGAAGATCAGTCAGTGTTACCCCCTGCACACAAAAAAAGGTGAATTAAATTAAATATGAATGTATTAGAAGTCAAATATGCATGTTTAGAACTGGTCTGCAAATTTAAACAGAATTTCTACTTAGCAAGTCATATTCATTCTATGAAGAATCATCACGAGCAAGCACAATAATATGTACTGGTAAAGAAATAAAATATAATGCAAGAAATTGTCTCTATATTAAAGAAATTAACAAAATAGCACAGGAACTGACCGTATGAATATAAATATTCGTAAGAAGTTCAAAGAAAGAAGGAAAAGCCAATATATACACTATTTATACATTAAATAGTATGTATTTATGAGTTTTTATATATGCAGATGCACAAAGAGAAGATTTCAGTAAAGCGCTAATTTTTGAAGGTTAAGTCCCCAAAAGGATAGATTGAATTTCAAGATGTAAAGGTACAAAGACAGAAAAAACATGTTAAAAAAAAAATGTTAAGATCCTAGCAAATACACAGTGTAACTTGAAATGTAAGTAATGGTAAGGATCTAATAGTTTAATCTGGACTTTGGAGCCCCTGAACTGAGGGGAAGGGAAGACAGAAAGAGATATAAGAGACAGAATCAGAATGGCAAGGAGGTAAGAAGATGATAATTAGCTGTAGTTGACATTTTCCTCATACTTGCACATTAGCTTTTTGAAATAACTAACATAAAATGCTTATTTCCCACCCCTTCCAAATACTCAGAATTATTTAATAATTGTGAGTCATCATATGTGATTCATTTTTAACACTAATCAAATACTCTGAATCAGACACTATATTAGGAATAGAAACATAAATATTCAAAGAAATATACAAAGGCATATAAAACATGCCTTAACAGTAATAGCTATATGTAATATGAGATGAAATGTAATTAGATAAAATGTAATATTAACACCATAGCCATATTTAAAAGGCTACAGTAGGATTACTAAAGCAACTTTTATATTTTAAGATTCATTCATACTATTTACTGAGATCAATATTTTCACAGAAATGTGAAAAGGGGAAACATAATTCTGAGCTTTTATATATCACACACATTAAATATACCTGTGTTGATCTTCTAGACTGTCTTGCTTGTCTAGATCTTGCTTTTCTTTGGGATTCAGACTCTTCATCTCTAACAGGAGTGAGGTATGATCTACAGTAACAAATAAAAATCATCAGTTGGAAATACATTACCTATGAATGTAACCATACATGAATGTACATAAATGAAACATTTAAGTTCAGCATTTTAATGGATTTTAAGAAAGAGTCATCAGAAAACGGTTAGACCCATTCTGAAATTCAACAATGCAGTTTGACGGTTTTTTAAACTGGACTATTCATATTAACATATATTTTTAAAAGTTTTTCCTATCCACAGTTTTGTTTCTCCAAACGTGTAGTATCATTTCTCTTAGCTCCTTTCTTGAGTCCCTGCAACATCATCCTAGATAATATGTGAAGTTATATGGCTAAACTCTAGACTGTCAATGTCTTTTTATGGTAAAATCATTAGGACTGAATACAGTTTTTAGGATATGAGATGACTAGTGAAGAAGCATGACTCCCTGCACTCCTGTCATCCTGCATTTACTAAAAATATTTTTGGCAGTCATCATACTTTGCTCATACTTAAAGTCCTCTAAAAATTCAAGTGTTGTTATACATGAACTCCTTTAAAATCAGCATATTACTCTCGAGTCACTGATTTTCTGATACAGAATACAGCATTTGGTATTATCTTCACTAGATTTTATATTTAAAATCTAAGCCTAGGAGTGGCGGATGCATGGCCAAGAGAACCTGACCTTCATCCAAGGTCGCCAAGAGGAGCTACCCCACGTCGAAAGCAAGGAGCAGCAGCTGCGCTATGCTGAAGCAGCCGTGAAGAGACACCCCACGTCCAAGCTAAGAGAAACCCAAGTAAGACGGCACGTGCTGAGAGAGGGCGTTGAAGGGCAGATACACTGAAACCACAACCACAGACAACTAGCCAATCTGATCAGACAGAACACAGCTTGTCTAACTCAATGAAACTAAGCCATGCCGTGTGGGGACCCCCAAGACGGACGGGACATGGTGGAGAGGTCTGACAGAATGTGGTCCACTGGAGAAGGGAATGGCAAACCACTTCAGTATTCTTGCCTTGAGAACCCCATGAACAGTATGAAAAGGCAAAAAGATAGGACACTGAAAGAGGAACTCACCAGCTCGGTAGGTGCCCAATATGCTACTGGAGATCACTGGAGAAATAACTCCAGAAAGAAAGAAGGCATGGAGCCAAAGCAAAAACTACACCCAGCTGTGGATGTGACTGGTGACAGAAGCAAGATCTGATGCTGTAAAGAGCAATATTGTATAGGAACCTGGAATGTTAGGTCCATGAATCAAGGCAAATTGGAAATGGTCAAACAGGAGATGTCAAGAGTGAACGTAGACATTTTAGGAATCAGTGAACTAAGATGGACTGGAAAGGGTGAATTTAACTCAGATGACCATTATATTTACTACTGTGGGCAGGAATCCCTTAGAAGAAATGGGAGTAGTCGTCAGAGTCAACGAAAGAGTCTGAAATGCAGTACTTGGATGCAATCTCAAAAATGACAGAATGATCTCTGTTCGTTTCCCAGAGTTCAGTAATCCAAGCCTACGCCCTGACAAGTAACACTGCAGAAGCTGAAGTTGAACGGTTCTATGAAGACCTACAAGACCTTTTATAACTAACACCCAAAAAAGATGTCCTGTTCATTATAGGGGACTGGAATGCAGAAGTAGGAAGCCAAGAAATACCTGGAGTAATGGGGAAATTTGGCCTTGGAGTACAGAATGAAGTAGGGCAAAGGCTAATAGAGTTTTGCCAAGAGAACGCACTGGTCATAGCAAACACCCTCTTCCAACAACACAAGAGAAGACTCTACACATGGACATCACCAGATGGTCAACACCGAAATCAGACTGATTATATCCTTTGCAGCCAAAGATGGAGAAGCTCTATACAGTCAGCCAAAACAAGACCCGACACTGACTGTGGCTCAGATCATGAACTCCTTATTGCCAAATTCAGACTTAAATTGAAGAAGTGGGGAAAACCACTAGACCATTCAGGTATGACCAAAATCGAATCCCTTATGATTATACAGTGGAGTGAGAAATAGATTTAAGGGGTTAGATCTGATAGACAGAGTGACTGATGAACTATGGACAGAGGTCAGTGACACTGTACAGGAGACAGGGATCAAGACCATCCCCAAGAAAAAGAAGTGCAAAAAAGCAAAATGGCTGTCTGAGGAGGGCTTACAAATAGCTGTGAAAAGAAGAGAAGCGAAAAGCAAAGGAGAAAAGGAAAGATATCCCCATTTGAATGCAGAATTCCAAAGAATAGCAAGGAGATAAGAAAGCCTTCCTCAGCCATCAATGCAAAGAAATAGAGGAAAACAATAGAATGGGAAAGACCAGAGATCTCTTCAAGAAAATTAAAGATACCAAGGGAACATTTAATGCGAAGATGGGCTCAATAAAGGACAGAAATGGCATGGACCTAACAGAATCCAAAGATATTAAGAGAGGTGGCAAGAATACACAGAACTATGCAAAAAAAGACCTTCACGACCTAGATAATCACGAAGGTGTGATTACTCACCTAGAGCCAGATATCCTGGAATGTGAAGTCAAGTGGGCCTTAGGAAGCATCACTACAAACAAAGCTAGTGGAGGTGATGGAATTCCAGTTGAGCTATTTCAAATCCTGAAAGGTGATGCTGTGAAAGTGCTGCACTCAATATGCCAGCAAATTTGGAAAACTCAGCAGTGGCCATAGGACTGAAAAAGGTCAGTTTTCACTTCAAACTCACAGAAAGGCAATTCAAAGAATGCTCAAACAGCCGCACAACTGCACTCATCTCACACGCTAGCAAAGAAATGCTCACAATCCTCCAAGCCAGGCTTCAACAGCACATAAACCGTGAACCGCCAGATGTTCAAGCTGGTTTTAGAAAAGGCAGAGGAACCAGAGATCAAATTGCCAACATCCACTGGATCATCAAAAAAGCAAGAGAGCTCCAGAAAAACATCTACTTCTGCTTTATTGACTAGGCCAAAGCCTTTGACTGTGCAGATCACAATAAACTGTGGAAAATTCTGAAAGAGATGGGAATACCAGACCACCTTACCTGCCTCGGAAGAAAACTGTATGCAGGTCAGGAAGCAACAGTTAGAACTGGACATGGAACAACAGACTGGTTCCAAATCAGGAAAGGAGTATGACAAGGCTATATATTTTCACCATGCTTATTTAACTTATATGCAGAGTACATCATGAGACATGCTGGGCTGGATGAAGCACAAGCTGGAATCAAGATTGCCAGGAGTAGTATCAATAACCTCAGATACGCAGATGACAGCACCCTTATGGCAGAAAGTGAAGAAGAACTAAAGAGCCTCTTGATGAAAGTGAGAGGAGAGTGAAAACGTTGGCTTAAAACTCAACATTCAGAAAACTAAGATCGTGGCATTTGGTTCTATTACTTCGTGGCAAATAGATGGGGAAACCGTGGAAACAGTGACAGACTTTATTTTGGGGGTCTTACAAAAAAAAATCACTGCAGAAGGTGACTGCAACCATGAAATTAAAAGACACTTGCACCTTGGAAGAAAAGTTATGACCAACCTTGACAGCATATTAAAAAGCAGAGACATTATTGCTAACAAAGGTCCATCTAGGCAAAACTATGGTTTTCCCAGTAGTCATAGATGGATGTTAAGAGCTGAACTATGAAGAAAACTGAGCATCAACAAATTGATGCTTTTGAACTGTGGTGTTGGAGAAGACTCTTGAGAGTCCCTTGGACTGAAAGGAGATGGAACCAGTCCATCCTAAAGGAGAACAGTCCTGAATATTCATTGGAAGGACTGATGCTGAAGCTCCAATACTTTGGCCACCTGATGTGAAGAACTGACTCACTGGAAAAGACTGTAATGCTGGGCAAGATTGAAGGCGGTAGGAGAAGGGGACGACAGAGGATGAGATGGTTGGATGGCATCACCGACTCAATGGACATGAGTATGAGTAAGCTCTGGGAGTTGGTGATGGACAGGGAGGCCTGGCGTGCTGCAGTCCATTGGGTCACACAGAGTTGGACACAACTGAGCGACTGAACTGAATGACTGACATCTATTAAATGTATAAAAGTTCTCTGTGAAATATTACCCTGTAAAACATGGTTCAATGGTTATTTTTTCATCCATCCAATTTATTTATGGACCTATTGGTCCTATGCAATTTATTGCTTTTGTACTTCCACCAGAGGAGGAGAAAAAATAAGAGAAAGAGATGAAACCTAAATGTGATACCACATCTAGTTAAACAGAAGTTTATAGCAGCCTACACAGGTGCTTGTATTACTTCAGCATTTCATGAGCTGCTCTGAAAAGTCAAATGAACATAAAAGGCTAAATTCTGATTTCTACTATATATGGTCAAAGTTTTTCAGATTTAGTTTAAAACAGGGAAATTTGCATGCCCTTTTACCCACACTGAAAACAGTACTATCAACTATCACACTCTCTCCCAAGAAGCCTAGAATCTTTTTCAATACTTTCAAACTGCTATGAAAATTAATAAAACTATTTATCATATGCAGGTTAGGGGCATAAAAATTACTAGCTGGAAAATTGTAAGCTCTGTTCAGTTAAAATTTTCATAAAAACATTTGCCCTAAAATAGCATAAAAACCTAGCCTATCAATTTGTAATGCATATTTCCTACACATTTGATAGTCCCCATCTAATGTTTAGTTCCTTTCTCCTTTCTTGAGCTGTCTATACAGAGCAGACCTCTAAGAATAGAACATAGAGAATACAAAAAATTCATGTTTTTAGTATGTTTTTAATTCCAAAGAGCTAGTCATCAAAAAAGGTGGCCCAATATACCAAATTTCATTGCTGCCTTAAACATTACTGTATCATACTGTCATGCTAGATTTCTTCCTTGTAACTACATAGGATGTGTAATTTTACTTCCTAGTCTTAGACTGCCCACTATTTTCTGAACAAGCCAAAGGTTATTTCTAAATTAAGGACTTTTCCCCCAGTAAAAGCAATTATTCTGTATATTATTTCTTTCCCTAACATTTACTGGCTGAAACATTTATATTTATTTATAATGGGAAGCTCCCCTGGAGAAGGTAATGACTATCCACTCCAGTATTCTTGCCTGGAGAATTCCATGGACAGAGGGATCATGGGGTTGCAGAGAGTCAGACATGACAGAGCAACTAACACCTTTTTTTGGTTTGTTTCAATAAAATTTATATTTTGGTTAGTCAACCAAGTTACATCTCTAAAAAGCAATACCAACCCTTGCTTCTCACTCAGCATTTTTCCTTCCAGAGGGAAGATAAGTGGTCAAATGGGAGCTGGCTGAGTCAAGGGAAAATGGTAAAAATGAGTACTTACACGAAACCATGGGAATTCATACTACACATATGAAGTTATTAGTAAGGTAGTATTTTGCAGTTTGAAAAGGCTATGGAGAATTAGAAATACTTGAACAATGAAAGAATTTTTCATCATGCCCCACCTGTCTCTCTATCTTGCTACTCCCCAAGGCTTGCGGGAATCTCAGTTCCTCCGTCAGAGACTGAACCCAGGCCATGGTAGTGAAAGTCAGGAATCCTAACCTCTAGGCCAATAGGGAACTCATCTATTTAAAGCAAGCTTCTCAGCTCTTCTCCCTGATGCCTCCTTCCTCCAATTAATCAACTCCAATTAATTTTACAAAAACAGAAAATTCTCACCTAAACCTGATCAATAAAACCAGGAAAACTCAAGAATACTGTGGAACTTAGTAGTGTACACGGTAACTTCACGCAGTACTGAAAAGTGCATGTGTGAGGATATATAAAATGGCATAAATGTATTAACACCTTTTTAAGCCACAGAGCATTCACGGCTTCCCAGGTGTCTCAGACAGTAACAAATCTGCCTGCAGTGCAGAAGACTGGAGCTCAATTCCTGGTTGGGAAGATCCACTGGAGAAGGGAATGGCAACCCCAAATCACCATATATACAATACAGGGGAAAATCTTCAACCATATACATTTTAAAATGATTAATAAAATTTAATTAAAAGATAAAACAGGGGAATTCCCTGGAAGTCCAGTGGTGAGGACTCTGAGCTTTCACTGCTAAGGGCTGAGGGTTCAATCCCTGATCAGTGAACTAAGATCCCACAAGATGAGTGGCCAAAAAAAAAAAAAAAAGAAGACAAACAGCAAGGCCAAAATTGCAAACAAGTATTTGACATCAAACAAAACACAAACATTAATATTACTGCAAACATCACTGAAACAAGACAAATTTTCTATAATATAGACTAGGAAAAATGTCAATAGACATTTTTTTCCTTACACTATTAGGACCTGCTGTGTCTTAACAATATTGCCAAATATTTAATTCTCAATCTTTAAAATCTTACAGGATTAATTCTACAAGGCTGAAACTTAATACTTTCAACAACATAAAATAATAAAGAAATCTGAGATTAAGAATCATAATTTACTAGTTCTGAAACAACTGATGATTTTTGGGAGATAGTCATTGGCTTTAATTGTCACTGGAAAAAATTTTTAAGTATGGAATGCTAGACATAGAAAGGATTCTAGAAGTTAAAAATTGTACATTAAATACCTGATTTTACAGAAGAAGAAATTCTGACCCACAGAGAACTCTTATTTTAGGATTAAGGCAGACAAGGAGTAAAAAAATCAAGAATTCTTAAGGCTTTTCCCCTTTAACTATCTTCCAAAAAAGCAAAGCCTTTAAATTTATTTTCACTAGAAGAGAATGAATGCCTATGATCCTCTAATTTCTGTGACTATGTGCTCTCACTGAAAACACCCCCAAACCTAAAACTTACTGAACTCAGAGAAAAATCAAGCAAGCATAATTAAAATGTGATATGACCTGTACTGGTATTCAAATCACAAAGTGCTACGTGCCTGGAGGGCTCTCCAGGCAAGAATACTGGAGTGGGTTGCCATTTCCTTCTCCAGGGCATCTTCCCGACCCAGGGATTGAACCCAGGTCTCCTGCATTGCAGGCAGACACTTTACCGCCTGAGCCACCAGGGAAGCCCTGAAGTATCATTAAATGTCACCATAAAAATATAAATGAAATATAAATATATTGACAGAAACTAAAGATGCAATGACAGAAAAGAAAAAATTTTTAATCTAAAAAAATTTTCATTTTTTTAAACATTTTTTAAACATTTTTAAACATTTTTTTAACATTTAACATTTTGTTACTTTCCATATAATCACCACAAATTTACTGTGAAGATGCTACCGCTTTTACAGCAAGCCATGCATTCTGCTAGGCATCAGAGACAAAAGATATATCAGACTGTCTATATATGAATACTATGTGCCAGAAAGAAAACCGGATTAATCTGGTTGGTATTTTAGTTACCGAAAATATCAGTTATGTGGCTAATTCTGAAGAATAAAATATTTAAAGAGGTTACATTTAGTTTCCTAAAATATGCTTTCCCAAGAGGTAAAACCAAATTCAAAGCTAGGGACAATGAGCAATATAGCAGACAGAAAGAAACCCCTGCACTGATTCTCCTGTAATCTTGGGCCTAGCCTTAGCTCTCACACTAATCATATCAAAGTGGAAAAGTCACTTAATATTGCTGGGACTCAGTTTTCTTCTGTAAAGGATATCATCAAAGATAATAGTAAGTTCCTTTCCACATCTATGATTCCATACCAATTGGCTACAACAGGAAGAAGAGAGCAGTGCTCTAAGTCTGTTTTAGCACACGAAATAAATTCACAGACTCTAAAAAATTTAACAGGTGTCTTCTATTTTTAAATACCAGAATTTAAACTAAGTGAATGTATTAAACATATGTAAAATTATTTGGCTTACACAGATGCCTAAGAAGCCATTCTTCAACAAGGGAATTTTATTTTTTTATAAAGTTTTTATTTTTTTCAACAAGGGAATTTTAAAATGAAATTCTCAAATATTAACAACAAAAAGGAACTTGTTAAGCATCAAATTTCTTAACAATGAGGCAGAAGGGGGAAACAATGAAAGAATAAAAAACTTTTCTTTTTCATGTTACATCTAATTTTCCATGAGTATGATTTGCTTGATATGTGTTTAGAGTACGTGTTTAGATCTTCACTACAAAAATTTTTTGAATTCTCACAACCATTAAAACTAAGAGGGCTAAGTAAGATAACTGTCTGGCTCAGTGCCTTTAAATAAGAACTGTCAGAGGTGGGTTCCAAGCCTAAATGCTAGTAATTGCTAATTATATCAATTTAGAGAGTTCTGAGCTGACATAGGTTATCTCATTGTATTAACCTGCTGAAGAGATGGACACCAACTTCCCAAGATTAAAAAACAGAACAAAACAGACAATTTACATCATTGGGCAAGATATATCAGCAGTGCTATTAGGACCTGTACACACCTGCGTCTCTCCCTGACCTCCGAAGTGGAGGAGACAGTGCCAGCAGTAGTTGTGGTCACGGTTGTGGTAGAGGCTGCAGCATTAACAACAGCTGGAGCAACAGGAATGGTCACTGCCGTAGGAACACTGTCCTTTTCCTTTTCAGTACTATCCTCAGCCCACAAACGATTTGAGGTACTATAGCGTCATAAGCAGCAACACAAAAAGAGAAAAGGAAAACAGCTGAACAATGAAAGCACTTTCTAGCGGCTGAAAACATGTGACTACAGGGATGGATTTAAAAAAACACACAACGTGAGACACCGGTCAACCATGAACCAAAGAGTTCACCCAGAGCTGTCAGAGAGAAATTTACATTTTAAGAAGCTTAATTCAAGGAAAAGTTCTTAGGTCAGGAACTTAATTTTTTTCCCCAGACATATAATTGCCTCTTTTGGAATCAATTTTTGGTTGTAAATAATTTTAACCAGGTCAATGAAAAAATCCAGAGCCCCACAATCTTCTACACAAAAATGCATGCACATACATAAGCACACAGGAGGCCTGAACACAAAATGTATCTGTGACTCACCTGCTTTGTGTGCCTGCTGAGGAAGAACCCGTTGTAATCTTTGTAGTAGTGCTTGTGCTGGAAAGCAGGCTTTTCTGAAGCCCAGCTGCAGAGGTAACTGTTGGTGTTGATGTGGTGCTTGGAACACTAGAACTAATCAAATCATCTTGTCTTCTACCAAAGGAGCAACTAAAGGAAAGAGTCATATCTATATAGGATGTGTCTGTAGGTGTATTCTATAGTCAATGCCTATACATTATACAGATTCACAAGGCTAGGAAAAAAAATCTTAAAAACTGTGTTCCTAAATACACCACCGGCTCCAGCACCAAGAGTTGCACCTACAACTTGCTAGAGTCTAAATGATTTCACTAATTTGGTAGTGTATCCTTTTACTAAACCCCCACCCACCAACAAGATTTAAATATGATCTGACAGCTTACGTTTCTGGAACAGTTCTACGTCATATGGACGTGCCTGGAAAAACACTGGTTTTACTCAGGGGAAGTTAAGACTAACACTTTTGAAAAAAAAAATGTTTTGGCAATGGATCAAAGCCTTAGGAGTGACCCATGCCTATATTATATCTGTCGATCTTTTAGTCTTTCTGATTGCTCTCAGCAGAAAAAATAATGCATAGATCTTCTACTCCCTCTCCAATATGATATTACCAACATTCCAATTCAAGGCATTTCTACTACTCTGAGTTCTAACACAAATAAAAACTTTTCAAGTCACCAAATGAGATAAATCAAGTTACTATTTCAAATGCTCCAGTCAATTACTTAATTGACTTATATGTAATTATATACAGAGTTCCTTTTCAATATAATCTAAAAGATACTTCAAAATATTTAATTAAAAAATACATAATAGGAAGGCATAAGTAGGAGCAAACTTTCAACCTGTTGTTAAATATATACTCTAAATGAAAGTTTTATTTAAACAACAAAAAACATATAAAAGCACATTTTTAATATTAAACTGAGAGCCCCAAACAAAACTGCCTCATATTTTAATAAAAGAATACATGAACGTTACTTAAGAATTATATTATTACCTTTTATGATAAGTTGAGCCTTCATTAATGGAGCTATTCTTTTTAAGATCATCTTCCCATTTTCTTCTTGTATATGAACTACTTGTTCGCAAACTTGAAGAATCTCTGTGAAAAAAAAAATCCTTCAGATTCTGGCAGATAATTTTAAAATAGAGTTAAAGAAGTTGCACATTAATAAACATAGCAGAAGTAGAAACTAGTAAACTCCCTTAGAAAAACACTTTGGAATATTTGTTAAGAAATGAAAGCAATTCACTAAGATTCCAGTTCTAAGATTCTATACCTAAGGAATAATTGTACCTGTGAGGGGAAACAGAAATGTCTATGGAAGTTTTATTTATGATGACAAAATATCATATAATTTCAATGTCCATAGTTTGGGCAGGGGGAATGGTTACTTTAATATCAGCAGATCTACTCTACAAATACTATGTACTGATGAAAAACAATATTTGTTGAAAATACACGCTAACGTCAGTTCAGTTCAGCTGCTTAGTTGTGTCCAACTCTTGGTGACCCCAAAGATTGCAGCACACCAGGCTTCCCTATCCATCACCAACTCCTTTGCTCAAACTCATGTCCATGAATCAGTATTGTCATCCAACCATCTCATTCTTTGTATCCCCTTCTCCTCCTGCCTTCTATCTTTCCCAGCATCAGGATCTAGTCTAAGGAATCAGTTCTTTGCATCAGGTGGCCAAAGTACTGTAACTTCCGCTTTAGCATCAGTCCTTCCAATGAACATTCAGGACTGATTTCCTTTAGGATTATTGACTGGTTTGATCTTGGTGCAGTCCAAAGGACTCTCAAGCATCTTCTCTAGCACCACAATTTGAAAGCATCAATTTTCAGCATGCAGCCTTTTTATTGTCCAACTCTCACATCCATACATGACTACTGGAGAAACCATAGCTTTGACTGTATGGACCTTTGTTGGCAGAGTGATGTCTCTGCTTTTTAATATGCTGTCTAGATTGGTCATAGCTTTTCTTCCAAGAAGCAAGCGTCTTTTAATTTCATGGCTGTAGTCACCATCTGCAATGATTTTGGAGCCCAAGAAAATAAAGTCTGTCACTGTTTCCACTGTTTCCCCAAGTATTTCCCATGAAGTGATGGGACCAGATGCCATGATCTTAGTTTTTGAACGCTGAGCTTTAAGCCAACTTTTTCACTCTCTTTCACTTTCAACAAGAGGCTCTTTAGTTCCTCTTCACTTTTGGCCATAAGGGTGGTGTCATCTGCATATCTGAGGTTACTGATATTTCTCCCAGCAATCCTGCTTCCAGCTTGTGCTTCCTCCAGCCCAGCGTTTCTCATGATGTACTCTGCACATAAGTTAAATAAGCAGGGTGACAATACACAACTTTGTCATACTCCTTTCCCGATTTGGAACCAGTCTGTTGTTTCATGCCTGGTTCTAACTGTTGCTTCTTGACCCGAATACAGATTTCTCAAAAGGCAGGTCAGGAGGTTCTGGCATTCCCATCTCTTTAAGAATTTTCCACAGTTTGTTGTGGTCCACATAGTCAAAGGCTTTGGCAAAGCAGAAGTAGTTGTTTCTCTGCAACTCTTACTTTTTCGGATGCTGGCAATTTGATCTCTGGTTCCTCTGCCTTTTCTAAATCCAGCTTGAATATCTGGACGTTCACGGTTCATGTACTGTTGAAGCCTGGTTTGGAGAATTTTGAGCATTTCTTTGCTAGCGTGTGAGATGAGTGCAATTTTGCAGTAGTTTGAGCATTCTTTGGCATTGTCTTTCTTTGGGATTGGAATCAAAACTGATCCTTACAGTCCTGTGGCCACTGCTGAGTTTTCCAAATTTTCTGACATAATGAGTGCAGCACTTTCTCAGCATCGTCTTTTAGGACCTGAAACAGCTCATCTGGGATTTCATCACCTCTACTAGGTCTGTTCGTAGCGATGCTTCCTAAGGCCCACTTGACTTCAGACTCCAAGAGTGAGTATCGACATTTTAGTAATCAGTGAACCAAAATGGACTGGATGGGAGAATTTAATTTAGATGACCACTTTGTCTACTAGTGTGGGCAAGAATCCCTTAGAAAACATGGATCCCTCATAGTCAACATGCTAACATATAAGACTGCTTATGAGATCTCAGGTGAAAGAAAAAGACACAAACTGAATACTATAACATGACTACAATTAAAAAGTTCTCATACTCTACATGTATTGAAAAGTGAAGAAACAAACTAAAATGTTGTCAGTGGTCAAGTAATGGCTTTTTGTCCCTTCCTTCTCCTTTGGTATTACGTTCCAAATATTTAGAAGCATACATACGCTATTCAGACAACCGTCCTCTCCCTCTGATACAACCATAAAGCCTTTATTTATACTGTTATTTCATGAACATACCAATTCTGTGCCCCCTCAGACCTGCGTACCTGATGCTGTTACTGTTAGGGATACCCTCCATTCCTTCCTGAAATCCATATCCCCTATAATCACAACCACCCAACCCGCGTATTTTAACTCTCATGCTAATTTCATAGTAAAAAAATAAATAAATAAAGCAAATCATAATGCATTCACCTGTTTTCTTTCTCTTCAATGTCAGATGTACTGCCGAGTCGTCTTGGTATTGTAGGCGCAACATATGCAAGCCTAGTTCCTTTACTATCTTTCTCCTACACAATGGCGAGAAACAGAGAGTGAAAATAAACCAGTGCGATGATTACAGGTGCTGCCAAAAGTATGGAAAAAGTATGCAACTACATATAATTACACCATCATCACAGTTTACTTGATAATATTTCCATCATTCCTAGCTAAACTCTAAAACTGATGTCTATCAATACTCAAGTACTATAAGCACTAAATGACAGCCTGCTAAAATTAATCTTCTTTTCTTTCTCCTTTAATCTAGAATTAGATCATTTTAACATAAGAAAAATTCCTCCACATTTTAATGACTATTTCTAAAACTTCTGTAACATATTGTTTACTGTAACATAGTATTATAAGACAAAACATCCTTATTTCTTTCAGAGAAAAGAGTTCTCAAATATGATTCATTGGTAAGTCTCAATTATTTACATTATATAAGCTATTTCCTACTTTGATATTCTATGCTTTAAAAAATAACATTATACAAAACAAAAAATTATTTCAATTATATTTATCCAAATCTAAGAGTGTAGATGCCATGTAATGGAATCTGTTATATTCTCATTATATGGTATCCATCAAGTACTTGGAAGACAATAGGACAATAAATTTATACAAAATAAAAATCCTAAGATTACTTTATGAATAATTCATTTCTGAATTTCAATACATACAAATAAACATTCTTATATAGAGCAAGAAAGCTATATGGAAGAATATCTGAGTACTAAAAATGCAATGGAAAATAAACAATCCAACTACATAAAACAGCACTGAAAGAACTGTGGTGCATCGTATTTAATGCAATTTTAACTAATGCCTTTCAAAATACAGCTATTAAAATTGCTCACTAGGACAAAGCTGTGATGTATCATATGAAAAAGTAGGTAAAGAAATTGTAGATACTGGATAAATGCAACCTATGAGTATAATCACAGTCTAGAACAAATGCAGTCCTAAAGTTTGAAAATCTTTCTTAATAAATAAAATTAGCTTGTTACTTGATAGATTTTACTGAGTAAAGAATTCCTTTACAGAGTAAAGGATTCCTATAATTGAGTACAGTCTCATAATTTATGTTTTGGGTAAATACATCTGATTTCCCCAATAATTATATTCCATATAAATATTGGCTGAAGGTAGGTACATTTGTATTTTCATGTCATTCTTTAAATCAATTGAATTAAATTGATATGTAGATATTATAATGATACACAGTGGAGAACCAATTGTTATAGTTCTTACAGAAACCAAATTGTGACACAGATTACCTTTTCTTTATTATCCAAAGAGGAGGAAAGTCTGGGACTTGAAGCTGAGCGCATGACACCTGCAGTGTCTTTTTCCTTCTGAGCCTCTTTAGATGCTGTGATTTCTGCAAGTGCACCATAACTGCCCGTCTTTCTAAGTCCTAACCTCCAAGATGCAGGAGACTCATCTTTTCTCTCTTCTTCTTTGGGAGAAATTTTTGTAGCTGAAGTTGGAAACTGTTTTTATTTAATTTTTCAGGAAAAGGAAAAAAAATTATCAAGACCAATCAGGCCTTAAACTGGAAAGGAGAAGTTTACAGATTAAACACTTTAAAATTACAGTTAATAGTTTCAGGAGAGACACTTACTAAGCAGGTTAATGTCTTAGTCAAAATGTAAAGATCTAAAACTGAAACAAGAAATATTACCTGTTGAGATGTTAGGTTTAAGAACACACACTCCACACTTTGTATCACACAGAAAAATTATGATGCAAACAGAGAAGAGAAATGAGCACACCATAATGACTTAAAACCATGCATCGTTGAAACCAATATTCACATTAAACTTGTTATGTTGTAACCTAACATAAATCCTTGCACATGGAAAAGCCTCACCATAGATTTTTCACCCTTATTGGGCACAAGAACAATGCCAGTTTTGCGCAAGCCCTGCCTCCACGATGCGGGATCTACTGATTCCACCACAGGCATGATAGGAGCAATGAAATCATACTAAAGCCAATTAAAATAAAACAGGTAAAGAGACACAGATTGAAAGTTTGAAAATATAAAAGGAAGTTATGAGCAAAATAAACTTTTCTCCTTTTTTAAAAGAATTTTATAATAAAGTAAAACCCCAATACTGGGTAGCTATCTAATCTTTAAGAATCACTGGGAGTAAGTTTCAGTTTTAACATAAGAGCATCTGAAAAAATCTAACTGAGAAACTTCTAAGGCAGTTAAAAGCACAGAGAGCTGGTAATATTCTAGTATGGAGTGAACAAACTACTGCACTTGAATTTTGTTTTTATTCACTTTGTACTTGGGTTAAGAAATTTTAAATCCATCATCATCAACAGAAGTAATCATCAATATATATTTAATTCATTAATATTTTAAATATCATAGTCTTAAATTTACCACTGGATTTTTCTACCAAACATTAAACATGTCAACTAAAAACTATTTTTGTACAAATATTTATTTCATTTCAGTTTTCCAACAGCCCTAAAAATGAAACACCCATAATCTTTAACTAGTTTACTCCATCAACTGCACTTAAAGAGTTTAAATATTCAACCACAGTTAAATATAGATGGTTAACACAGCAACTAACTAGTTACTACAAGCATAGGATATGTGTAATTTAAAAATAAATAACCTAAAACAATCTTTCTTTCACATTTATAGCTCAGGTTTACTGTAACAGAAGTTTAAAGGAACTTGTTAAAAGCACCATAGTGTTTGAGGTCTACTTTTTAGACAAAAAAAACTCTAGTGTTTCCAGTAATTAATTCCTATCAATAGGGTTGAAAAGAGACTCAAGACATGCAGCATTTCTCAGTTCCCAAAATGTGAACTGAGGCATTCAAGATGCAAGAGCAAAATCACAGGAGTGCTATGGAATGTTTTAAAATTTTAAGTGAAGTACAGTGACATCTGTTGGACACAGTGCAAACTGCCATTACTTTTTGTAGTAGCTACTTAATAAATGAAATAAAGAGGTATTCCTTTGGGCCAAATGGCACTGTGAAAAAAAAAAAATCAGTAAAACGCTCAAGTCTCCCTTGGCTGAGAAAGTCCAGGAAGCTCTGTAATATTTTACTCAGTATGATAGGCACAGGGATGATTCCTTACTGATTTCAGAGTTTAATGTCACGCTACTCGAGAACACAGGTTGGCAAACTTTTTCTATGAAAGGTCAGGTTGTAAACTTTAGGCTTTAACTACTCATCTATGCTGTTACAGTACAAACCCATCCATAGGTAACATACAAGTGAAAGAATGTGGGTGTGTTACAATAAAACTTTATTTAGGGGCAGTGAAGTTAGAATTTGTGTCACGAAATACTCTTTTTCTTTTAATCTTCCCCTGCCTCTGCCAACCATTTAAAAATATTAAAAGCATTCTTATTTGCAGACTGTATAAAAAGCAGGTAGTGGGCCAGGTTTGGCCCACAGACTATGGTTTGCTAATCCTTCTCTGCCCCTAGAACCTTCCCCAAACTGGAAACACATCTTACTCTTCCATGATGAAATAGTAAATAGTATTTGCTGAATGTTACAGCAGAAGTGAACATTTAACAAATGTTCACTTGTGTCAGGCCTAAACTAAGTGCTTCATACTGGTTATCTCATTTAGTCCTGCAACCACCCAATGAAATAGAACTTTACATCACTTTAGAGTTGAGATAAATGAGGCAGTATTATCAAGTTAGAGATTTTGTTGTAGTGTTAAAACTGATATACTTCCTCTCTATCTAACATAAATTTCAATTTCAGAACTGGTTATCTGTTTAAAGGCGTCTTTCTGTCTCTGGTGTATAGATGAACCTCTTGGAGAAACTCAAGTACACCTGTCCCCTGAGATTCCTCTTTTCGCTGTGATAACCAGGACAGTATTTTGACTTCCCTACTCTTCTGACTATCCCCGTTCTTGGTCTTTTTGTCGCGGCAACTTTCCTTGTCACCGCCCTGGAACATAAGCGCTCCAACAGTCTGTTCTCACATAGCCCACCTTCTCCTTCTATTTTCCTCCGTGTGTTGGGAGTAGGGTCTTCTTTATATCCTCAAGCATTGTATTCAGCTTATTCTCAAACTTGCTATTCTGCAACTCAATCTCACTCCTAATTTCCTAGTCCTGAATTTCTATTTACCTGTAGAATAGACTATATATAAGGAAACTGGAACCTGAAACTGAAACAATGTTTAAAGTATAACACCTTTATTTCCAAACCAACTCATCCTTGGTTCCCTATTTCTGTTACTGGCATCAATAATCTATTCAATCCCTAAAAAAAATTTTTTTGGCCACGTTGTGCAGGCATGGAGGATGTGGGATTTTAGTTCCCTGATCAGGGATCAAATCCATGGTCCCTGCAGTGAAAGCAGGGATTATTAACCACTGGACTGTGGAGCAAGCCCCAATCCCCTGAATTTGCAACTTGAAAGTCATGTTAGACCTCTTCTTTGTCATCTTCCTGCAATTATAAATTAAGTGACAAGTCTCTAAACCTCCTCCTCTCCTTTATATAAGACCACTGCCACTTTTCTGATTTATATTCTTTATCATGTTGGGAAACTTCAATGACTTTCTAATAAACCTTTCACTCAGTCTCTCACCTTCAAATACACCTGTACACTGGTGTCAGAATAATATTCTGTAAAGAATAATTCTCTTATGGCCTTGTTCAAATATCTATGATTCTCTATATCTATCAAATCACAAAAACATTACCATTGGAATGAAAACATTTCACAGTTTGGCTCTACTTTTCCCGTTTCACTTCATGTATGTATCCTGTAAATTAATCAAACTTGACAACTCATTTTTCCTGCAAAAATACTCCATATTATCCCTACTTGGATCACATCGTTTCTCTTCTCTTTCAACAAACTGTACAAACTCTCCTCTCTGTTAGGCTGAAATACTACCTACACATTCTTTAAAATCTATCATAAATGTTCTAACTCCACTATCTCAAATCAAAAATGATTTCTTCCATTTTAAAACCACTGTTTTACAATTATAAACTTTTACTGGTATACTTCATATACCCATAGCACATAGTCTTTTATTGAATTTTATTATGTTTGATAATTAGATTCAATTAGCAAGAACTTGTAATCAAGAAAACTCTAAATTTTCATCATCTAGTGAAGAAAATATAGTTTACAAGTACTGGAATGTATGTGTAGATAACAGAATAGCTAATCTTTTTTAGAGATTCCAACAATATTTACTTTGACTACAGAGTTATATATATAAACAGTGTTAGTTAAACTTATTGTTAGTTAAAACATTAACTAACAATAAACCAACTGTTAAGATAAAATTTTAATATAATATAAAATATACATTATTTAACTTATTAAGTTAAATAATGAAATAAACTTACTAAGATCAAACTAATGGTTTTACAGTTAATATATCCACAAATTATAGACTTGATCTCATTGCTACAGGAATCGTTCTGCAATTGTAGCTGACAAGTTAACAACTGAAGAGAAGAACTTTTTAAAGTGAACACCTCTATGTTTCTCTGCAGTTATCAGGAGTTATGACAGAATATAAATGATATTTAATACTGTTTTAGAGCTTTCAGGGTTGTGATCTATTCCTTGCCATGAATGTTCATGTGTATGTGTGTCTATTTATATAAGGCTTATGCATTGGTAGAAGAAGCTAGAGAACTTAAGATAGCTTTGTCTAAAAAACAGAAGCTGAGGAGTGAGAGGCAACCTAAACACAGAACTCTTAATTACAAAATCTTCTATGATACATTTATAAATTAAGAATTCATTTAATGAAATTTGTTAGGTCTCTAAGTTACAGGGAAAATCTTAAAACGTTAAAAACAAAAACCTAAAATGCTAAAGTAAATACAGTATTACTGAATAGAACAGGCTTTAAAAGTCATATATAGTACTGATTAACTTTTAAAATACTTCATTCTTTTGTACAAGACTTTATTATTTTGAATAAAATTTGGCCATAAAACATTAAGAACAAATACTGAAACAAAATAATCTTTAAAGTAATCTTCAACTTGAGAATAAAATGCAGTTTCCAAATATACAAATTAGACAAACAACTGTCATTAGGTCAACTTAATTAAGAATTAGAATCAATTCTGATTAATAACTAATAAGAATAAAATAAGAACTTTTATAGCAAAGAGATAATTGGCTCACTAATCTAACAGAGCTATTAAGTATTTGCTTTCAGTGAGGGTAGCTGGCATAAACTGAGAAGTAAACTGCCATAAATCTAGGGTTATGCTTGAGAAAAATATAATTGATAAGAAGCCTACTGTAATGACTTGACTACAGTAGGAAAGAGACTGCTTAGCTATAATACTCAAAAGACTAACAGCTGACTTCTTGGCTAGCTATGCCAAGGGAATGGAGCTTTGGGGAACTTTTTGATAAATTTGTAGTTCTAACAGAAAATAAATCAAAAGAGTTAAAGTTCAGCATTCACTGAAGAAGTAAAATGGGATTCTATAATTAAATAAACCTTTAGTTAAAGCAGCTCATGGTAACTCCAGTTATGATAACTATCTTGAAAATTTTGCAGATAGACTGCTTCTAGAGAATTTCATTTTAAAGCATATAAAAATTATGGCCATTTGAGGATAATTTCTAATTGCATTTAAGAAGCCCTCAGTTCTAGAATGTAGAAAGTGAGATGATTTAGTCAGAGTCTCCTGATATTCAAACTGTACAAGTGAAATTCATGTTATTTCTACCGCTAAAAATTCACACTACTGCTTTCCTTTGGAAGAGTTTCAGGTGAGGATTATTAATAATAGTACGGATCTTTCTCTAGCTTATGATTTTAAAAGGCTCAAATTGTGGCCACTTGGTATCAAATCCAAAGACTAGCAAAACTGACAATATGATAGAACTGCTGTGGGGATTTAAAATCAGTCCCCAAACCAATGCAAACCAAATGATGTCAGATAAGCAACAAAACAAGAAGTTCAAAGGCAAAGACACGATAAATGAATACAATGTGTAATTTGTGAATGGACCCTTAATTTGAAAAATCAAAAAATTTTTAAAAATAAAACAAAAATCTGAAAAGTCAAAAAAACCCAAATTTGAAAAATCTAGAAAGGTGCTACTAGGAGGACAACTGGGAAAATTCTGAGTATGGTTTGTATATTAGCATAAATAATGTTCTATATCAATGTTAAACTTTATAAGTATGTTGATTTCACTGTGGTAATAAGGGATAATGCATTTGTACTTAAATATATTACTCAGGAATACTAATGTGTTACAGTGAAAGTAGTCAATTCTTAAAACAGTTCTGAGAAAAGGAAAAAAAAGCGTTGAGTGCATATGTGTGTGCGCGTGCACAAACGTGTATGTGAGTGTGTGTTACATAGAGAGGGAAATGAGTTTGCTCATAAAAGACAGGTAAGGGCTGGTAGGAGAAGCCTTTAAAAAGGGACCAGCAGGTTAAAGAAAGGAAAATAAAACAACCCTCAGAAAAAACCCTTAATCTTTAATTTGGGTTTAAAAAAGTATGGGTTCTGAAACATCAGGGAGAAGAAGTCCTGAACATCAAGACACTAGCTGGAAAGCACTGTTTGGTGGAGAAAGGAAAGTAAGAAGGATAATAAATAAACGGGGAACAAAGTAAGGAAGAGGAAGAAATGAAACTAACATTCTGGGAGCACTTAAGTCACCAGCCAAGCTCTTTCAATTACTGCTTAACAAGGATAGCTTATTTTCTCTGTGTTACCGTTTTTGTTTTGTCCTTTTTTAGGGAGAACACATAAGGAAGATAGCAACTCGCCTACAGTCATAACCACTGACAAGAGGTGGGGTCAGCAGCTGACCTTTGGTGTGCTCAGACATACCTGGTGCTCTGTAAATGAACTAGAAAATCAAGATTCCAGTTCTCTTAGTGACTTGTGGCAGGTTTTTTTATGCTTAACTTATACACATGTGAAATTACCAAAAAAATAAAAGATACCAAACTCTTGTTTCTCAAAAGTCAAAGGAAATAAAAAACTACCATGCTTAGTAGTTTTTCATAAGAAAAATCTTATTTTTCTGCTCTTTATTTTTTTAATGATTAACTAGCATCAACTGCAAAAAGTACTTGCAAAAAGAATGTAACAGGTTCAGCAGAAATCTCAGTAAAATAAAGAAAAAATATTTTTACTCTAAAATCTTAAACTCAGAACTGTCTTCATGCTCTAACCAAACGGTACTTACACAGAATACGTTTATTTTTTAACAAACACTATTCTGTCTTACCTTTTTAACAGGTGACGTAGGTGTTGGCTGACCAGATGACACAGTAGGTGCTGTAACAGCTACAGGGGCTGCTTGTGCACTAGAAGTATTGGCATTAGTTACAGAAGCCATGGGCTTTGTCTTATCTTAAGGAGGAAAAAAGAAAAAAACATTAAGAGTCATGATTCTAGATGAGCTCAGTTTCAGAGGTATTGAGAATAGTATTTAATACTGTATTTTTGTTAATTTAGTCTTTTCCCACTATCATCCCTTTTAACAAGAGAATTTTTCAAGGAGTTTCTAGAAATGTCTCAATATGTATGAGACCTAAATAAGAACATGTCACATAACCAGACTTTTAAGGATAAAAAGCACAAATAAAATCTGACTTTCGTACTTCTAACACTATGGAAATCTTTTAAAAATTATTAAATTAATTTTCAAAACCTGAACACTTGAATACAACACAACTTCAAAAAATTCAAGAGCTATGTATTTTCTAATGAGTAAAACAACTTATATTGCTTTTCTACAACTTATACCTCTTCTCTGCTGTAGGACATCTAAAATTGTTCTTTGTCAGTAATTAAATTCCTGTCAAACAGTTACATTTAAATGTCACAAAGAGCCTTCCTTCTCACCCCTAAAAGGTCTAAAGTTAAATGGGTACATCAGTTGAATTAGGTTAAATCTCTTCCCACAATGTATCAAGACAATTTCCAACTAATAATTGATCACTTAGAAAAAGATTTTTGAAATATTAGGAAAAAATCAATATGATGCTAGCAAAAATTCAAAGACTATTTGAACACAGAAATCAAACTAGCCTTTAGCACAAGTCACATATAAACTTAAACCTTTAAGTTAACTATAATTTATACATGGGCTAGAAAAGTTTACTTTTCAAATGGTCAAGTCATTTAACTGAGCTTTAAAGTATTCCTTTAGTTTCAAATGGGATAGAACAGGTATCTTTCTATACTTTTGGGAAGAAATATACTGCTTTTAAAGTTCTATGAGATATTCATTTTTACTATACTACCTTTCTTCCCTATGTTAATAGGGCTGAAAGCATAATTTCAAACCATATCAAAGGACAAGGCCAAACTGACACCTTTAAAAATCACTATTACCATAGCTTTTCATATAAACTGAATGAGCTAAACTCAGTCTAATAAGCTTTTTTTTCTCATTGTTAAATCTCTTTTCATTCAACAGAAGCTAAGCCTGCTCAGCATAATTAAGTACAATTCATGTATACTCTTAATTAAACCATCCTCCTGGGAAACAATCCATTTAAGTGGAGAGATTAATTCAATGAATATTTATTAAGTGCCTAATACATCAAGCACTGGTCCTAGGCGCTGGGGATATATCAGTTAATGAAAAGACAAAATAACTGCATAAAGCTTATAGTCTGGAAGGAGAAATAAAGTTCAGCATATTTTTTTGCATGTTCTCCTTTTTTTCTATTTTCTCTAAGTTTAAAAATTTGTTTTGTATTATTGAAATAAATCTATCAAAGAATGTATATGCACATATGCAAACATTTATGGTTGGTTTACTAGTAATAATGAAACAAACCCCAGGTATCCATCATTCAACTTAAGTAAACATTATCAATGTTATTGAAGCCCTTTATATTCATTTAACTTCAATGAAGAATAAAAACTTCATGTCCTAAAGGGAAAAAAAAAAAACAACTAAAAGCAAAACTATGCTTCCCTTTCCTCATTCCCTCAACTACCTCTCAAAAGTTTATAAATCATTTGGAAGGAAATTAAACTTTTGGTTGAGTACCTATTTTCAATCTGATTTATATGAAACTGATTTAAAACTGGTTTTATAAATATTTAACTAAAGAAAATCCAGCAAAATAGTTATTTAACATAAAATAGTTTCCCAAGGAAACAACACTGCAAAAAGAAAAAAGAAACAGTTTAGAAATTGTCAGGTCAAGCTGCAGCTCTACAGGGAAATGACTGCTTTCTCAAGCTTGCCAAATAAAGTATGATAAAGCCTTGTTGATATTAAAAGAGTGAGAGAGAAGGAACCACACAGCATTTACATGGGTTAATTCTTGAGATAGAGTCAAATTTTCCTGGCACAACTAGCTACTAGCAACAGGAAGAACACAATTATCAAGTACAATGCTTCAGAGAAACATTTAAAGTTAGCTTGCTGAGAAACACAGCAGTGACTGGTATGCTTAAACTTCAAATTGGATGGGGAACACGTGTAAATCCATGGTTGATTCATGTCAGTGTATGGCAAAAACCACTACAATACTGTAAAGTAATTAGCCTCCAACTAATAAAAATAAATGGAAAAAACAAAAACAAAAAAAACCCTCATTCTTGACCCCAGATCTATTGGGAACAGTGCTCCACTGCTTGTGAGGCACTGTACTTTCCCAACTCACGGATTGTTTCCCCTTGAATAAAGGACATCTGACCTGTTTAAAAAAAAAAAAAACCTTCAAATTGGGAACTAACATAATACAATTTGATGGTAATTAGTTCTAAACTATCCAGATAACCTAGTCTAATTCTTTCCCAAGGAAATTTCAACCAAAAGGTCAGGAGATTTGCTAGTTAGCAGTGCCTAATACTGAGAGTTTGTATGTTGTTGCTGTTTAGTTGCATCCGACTCTGCAACCCCTGTGGACTATAGTCCTCCAGACTCCTACGTCCAAGGGATTCTTCTGGCAAGAATACTGGAGTGGGTTGCCATTTCCTTCTTCCAGGGATCTTCCTGACCCAGGGATCGAACCTGTGTTTCCTGCTTGGCAGGCAAATTGTTTAAAAAAAAAAAAAAAATTGCTATTTAGAAAGGCTGAGAAGACTGATGCTAATTTGAACAGGTAAGCTGTACAAGAAAAATTCCTATCATTTTTTATATCCTCCAAGTTGGATTCCATTGTGTATGCTTTTTTCTTTCTTCAGACCTCTTTAACTTCAGACTGGAGTTGAGCAGAAATATGGCTTAGTCCTTTCCCCTCAAATCATTCTCAGGCTCCAGACAAGGAGCTGGACCTCTGAGAAATTTTAAGTGGCAGTGGAAGTTTTTAACTCTGGAGGCTTTTCAGGAGTATATAAGAACAAGGAATAAGCTGCTCCTCTCTCAGCTCTTTCCAGGAGTCAGACCCTAAGCAGATGGAAAGGCACTGTAAGACACATTAATCTACTGCCATCGGGACAACTTGTATTCACCCTGGGAGGCAGGTGAATCCCTGGGGATTGGTGATGAGACGCTGCAGCATCACCATAATCCACGCTGGGATAGGTCCTGTCCTGTCCTCCAACCTGGAAGCTCCTTTGAGTCAAACCACATTCTCATGAGAGCTCTTTGTGATCTGTGAGCATCTGAAGTGCATCCGAACCTGAAGCTGTGGAGGAATGAGCTGGCAGGTGGATTCTTTACCATGAGCCACCAGGGAAGCCCAGTGAGTTGTGCAGAAGGGATCAATTAACAAAAAATTAGGTAACAAAACCTCTGAGACATCTGGACTTTCAGTTCTTGAACCCTTCTGCATGAGCTGGGAGAGCTGCGTGCCAGTCATGGTGTGCATGTGCACGTAGCTTGATTTGTAATGATGTGTTTCACTAGAGGACAGAAGAGCCTACTGTGCCGCACTCCTCGAGGTCAAAGGAGTCAGACATGACCCAGGCTGAACAACAACAACCTCTCACTAGAGACCAGGGGCCAAAGCGTATCTCAGAGAGGAGATTAACTACGTAAAAGTAATTCAAATACTTGTATTTGAGTCAGTTTAAATTTCAATGGTGTCATTTTATCTTTCAAATGAACTGAACAAATTTAACTTAAGTATTAATAGATAAAAAACATGTACATTAATCATATTTAAAAGAGTAACTTTAATTTTATACAATATATGAAAATTAATATTTATTAGAGTAATTATTATATAGTATCCATGTAAAGCAGGTATTATTACCCTGATTTCACAGAGAAATCAGATTAAATAACTACATCCACAATTACATGCATGAATCAGTTCATGTTCTTGAACACTGTACATGCTGATTTTCATATAATTTGCTTTCATAATTAGAAATATTTTAATTAGCATGTTATACAAATAAATTTTAATAGTCAATGACTACCTGTTGTTCTACTTCCAATTTTACTTATACTACTGTGTCATCAAGGCAAAAGATATGCTGACTTACCTGACCAGCAATGTGACAGCAATAAATAAAAAATTATCAATAAATCCCTAGAGACTAAAATCTAGTCATTTTATAAACCTCAAAAACTCGTGTATTTCCAAAAAATAATTTACCTGTAGTACTAGTAAGTTCAAGAAAATAAAGAAATTCATAACATATCACCTGGCAACAAAGCTAGCCTGTACCTAGTTGGCAGTATCTTGTTTTTAATGGGAAAGAGAATTAACAATATGTTCCTTGACATATTTATTTAGTAACTTTAACTTCTCACATTTTCTTAGAGAAAATATTTTGCTGAGTGAGTAAAAATAGTCTGGTTCAAAACTGCTGTTGTTGAGTCCACAGGAAATAGGGGGAGTTTAAGGGATTCTAGGGCTCCTTTGTGTTTATCACTTGATCACTAAACTAGTCCTGAGATTATGATGACAGTTTTGCATTGATAAAAATCTTAATGGAAATGAAATACTATTTCTGGTAAATATGTTAAAATGCCAAAATTCCAGGTTACACAACTCAAAGATGGCAATACTGGAATCTCAAACTCTTCAGAAGTTTTGAGTGACTAGGCAGTAAAGAATAAAAGCAATTCAGTGAACAAAATTTATAAAAATGTGAGCCAGAGGAAAAAAATGCAGAAACTGCACCCTTGACAATAAAGAGGATTTAAATTGTTATAGTAAAACAATCTGACAGCATCTGTGAAGAATGAAAATATGACTCAATGATCCAACTTTTCAGTATATCTGTTAGAGAACCTCTTGGACATATATACAGGGAGATAATTATAAAATGACTGCTCCAGGACTGTTTACAATAAAACACTGGGAATTAGGCTAATTTTTTATCAAAAAGGAAATCAATATTTAATGAATATTATACAGCAACTGAAGGGATAGATTACATATGAAAAGATACAGATAGAAACAAAACTTTTAAGTAAAAAAAGCAAGCTGCATAACGATTCTAGGGTACAAAATAAAAACACAAAACAACCTTATAATTACTACATATTATTTTTGAATGTACGATAAGAGTATGACAATGGATTAGGAGATTCAGGAAAAAACTCATGATAGTGATTTGGGAAAGAAATGAAAGAGAAGTAGACTAGGGTGATGATTAAAGAAGACAACAGTTTTAATTTTATTAAAAGAAAATTAAAAACAAATACAGCTAAAAGTCAATAGCTATTTCGTTTTGGTAGTCTGAGTATGAATGTTTATTATATTTTCCTGTATCTTTAAAATTTCTCAAAACAAAATAAATTTCCCCACACGTCTACAGGAAAAAGTCTTGGGACTCAGTCCCAACTTTCTAAAACTTTAGTATTACTCAGGAAATATTTGGGAGCCAGCTTCCTGTATTTGGGTCTCAGAAAGCAGCAGGGACATTCTTGAATTGCTGGGAACCCACCTAACCCTATCTGTACCACCCAAAAGGAGTCTTAGAAACCTCTTCATCTTCTTCAAAATAGGTCAGTAAAACACAGAGGTGATCAACAGCATCCAGGTAATTAGAGAATGATAAAATCACAACTACACTTAAAATCCCAACACTCCTGAAAGGTAATTTACAGGCTTGTTGCTGGCTTGGCAGGTATCTTAAATAGCATGTCAGTCTGAAAGGTTTCAAAATTAAATTCTGACCTCATCTTACTTTACACTTCCTCAAAATTTCACTGAAAATCCTTTTATCCTTCACATTTTACCTGTTTCAGCTTCTGATTCTGAGTCATCTTCCTCATCTTCTTCACTAGAGCAACTAGATTCATCTTTCTTTCCTTCTTCTTCATCATCAACCTTTTCTTGTTCCAGAGATTCAATACGGGATGCATTTTTCTCAGGCTCAATAATCAATGTCTCTTTGCTGTAAAAGGAAAAAAAGCCTTAAAATAATTATAAAAAAGGTCAAAATATAATATAAATGTATTAATTTTTCTCAGAACCACAAAATCTAATAATCATATCTGTGGCTATCATGCTAACTCATTTAAAAAAATAACAAAATCTACTTAAATATTTTACTTACTTTTTAAAGGTCTTCTGTGACTGATTATTATCCATATTAGCTGTTGATTCAATTAGTGGAGATTTCTTTTCCCGTTTTTCACTATGGAGCTTTATAAAAGTTATGCAAAGAAAAATAAGAACACTATTAAAATAATATTAATCAGCAAAATACAGAATTTAAAATAGCAACAAAGTAGGTTCCCAAACACTAAATGAAAACAAAACAGATAGAACAAAGATTTAAATTTTAACCTAAGAAGAAAAGGGCTTGGATAAAGAATAAAAAAGAACTAGACAGTTAAAAATATCCACAAAGCAAACTTCTCTGGTGGTCCCATGGCTAAGATTCTACCCTCTGTACAGAAGGCATAGGTTCAGTTCCTGGTCAAGGAACTAAGATATGCTATGCAGCCAAAAAAAAAAGGGGGGGGGGATGCTCCACAAAGGATTAAGTTGGATTTTTTTTTAAAGATCCCTCCAACTTCAGTTTATTGAAAAAGCCAGAGTCCATTAATCATTTAGGATGTCTGATAATACTTAAACAACTGCTTCCTAGTTATGTAACTGCTTGCTTTTCTAGGGTATGCTATTTTTGAAATCTGAGATTTTATAGTCTCCACCTTCTAAGCAAACTTCCTTATGAAATCAAAAAATCATTACTGAGAACGTACACATTATACAGGGCTTTCCCGGTGGCTCAGTAGGTAAAAAAATCCACCTACAATGCAGGAGAAGGGGGTTCGATCCCTAGGTTGGGAAGTTCCCCTGGAGGAGGGCATGGCAACCCACTCCAGTATTCTTGCCTGGAGAATCCCCATGGACAGAGGATCCTGGCAGGCTACATACAGTCCATGGGGTCTCAGAATTGGACACAAATTAGCAACTGAGCACACATGCACATACATTATCTAAGTATTCCTTTGGGAAGGGGAGGCTAGAGAAATGGGGAAAACAACACAAAAGGCTAAAAAAATACCATCACTACTCCTTTATTCTCATTTACTATCATTTAATTTGTTTGCTGAGAATAACTTAAAACCAAACAGTACAAAATATTATAAGAACACCTTTTCAACTGTCTGAAATCAATGTTATATGGGAATTCACCAAGAGAGACAATTTTTAGATAAGTCATCAAACGTACCAGATTTTGTTTCTTTTGCAAATCTTCTAGATACCCTAAAATGTCTTCATCTGCTACATCAAAGGCTGTCTGGCCCTACATAGAAAACAAAGGGTTGATGATGATAAAAAGTTGTCAATAAATTATGCCCTCAGTGATTCTCCATAATTCTACAGAAAGAATTAGGTAATTTTTTTTTATAGTAGGTACAAAACACGGTACAAATGACTTGAAGTAGATAAATGAAAAATCCATGTGAGCAAGAAGCAACTGATATACATCCTCTTACTTATTTTGGTAACAGCTTTATTGATCTATAGTTCACATACAAGTCAACTATTTAAAGTATGCAATCCAATGGTTTTTAGTATATCCACAAGTTTTACAACCATCACCACATCCAGTTTTAGAACATTTTCATCATCCTCAAAATAAGTGACATATCCACTGCCATCTCCTCACCATTCCTCCTTGCTCTCCCAGTCTAAGACAACCACTAACGTACTTGCTGTTATTGTAGATTCTTGTTACTATACTTATTCTGGACACTTCATACCAAAGGAATCCTACAGCATATAGTCCTTTGCGATTGGCTTCCTTTACTTTACATACTGTTTTCAAGGTTCTTCCATGTTGCAGCAAGTATCTATTTCATTCCTTTTTTAACTGATGAATAATATTTCATTGTATGATACACCACAGTTTGATAATTTATTCACTGGCTGATGGACTTCTGCATCTGCCTTTGCTTTTCTGATATATAATGAATAACACTGCTATGAACATTTGTATACAAGTTTTTGTATGGACATCTGTTTTAATTTTTTGGGGTATAACAGCTACAAGCAGAATTACTGGGTCATGTAGTAACTCCAAGTTTGCCTTTTTGAAATCTTATTTCTATTTTACCGCCATAAAAATTATTTAAATTCTTACTAGAGTAATAAAATTATGCATTTCAAATATATTTAAAAGTTCAGCTAGTCACAGGTATGACTTAGTTTCAAAAATCAGTACAGGTGAACATCTGTCAAGCTGTTTTTATTCACAGTGGAAAAGACAATTTTAAAGAGCTGGTGGCCAAAAATAGTCTCATAATATTTTAAAGACTAAAACTGTATTTTTAAAAGTTAAAATATTTAAGGTACATTTAAAAGGCTTACCACTTTGTTGACCATCTCCATATCACACAGATTGTCCACTAAAATCCGACATGCTTCTTCTTTACCCCAATGAGCTGCAGCATGAAGAGGTGTCCAGCCATCATAATCTTTAATATTAACATCATAGCCTGCCTGTATTAAAAGTCTAAACAAATTACAGTGAATTAGATAATCATTAAAATCTAGAAATAAGTGAACATAATCAACAGCTATATACCATGCACTTAAACAAAAATTTGCAATATATTTCTTTTCATAGTTCGAAATTTCTCCTCCCCTCAACAAATTAACTAGGGCAAAAGAAAGTAATTCTCAGAAAACACTGGAATAGAGAATCTTGAGTTACTGCCATAATAATGAATTCAGTTTTAATTAATTCCTCATAATTATTCCTCATACTGACTGTGTCTTATGGTTTGGTATGACACTGATTCTTATTAAGATGTTTCTAACTGAAATTTTCACAGGGAAGTCTATAATTTTTCAAAACTACTAGATCAATTTGTATGTTAAACTGATTTATTGTAGGAAATGGCTTCCATATGATATATCATCTCAGGCTGAACACGTTCTCAAAATATGGGATCAAACAAATTTGTAGTGTTATTGTTGCTTTGCAGTTAAGGAACTGGTTTGTGCAAGTTTTCATGAACCTTTATGATCTACCACTGGAAATTTTCACAGGAAAATGACAATCTGTTAGAAACAAAACAAAGCGGAACAAATATTCTGAGGGGTTGAGTCTACTTTCTGTAGCAGTAGAAAGCAAATATTCTAATCATCAACAAAGCTAGAAGACAGGAATACATTTTAACACAATGCAAGAAGTTGCATAAATGTTAGTATGCCCTTCTAACTATATATCGACATCAACCTTTATTTAGAAATTAAGCTCATAAGAGATCAAAGAATGGGTCTATAAATTGCACACAGCACAGCCCCACACACAAAGGCGAACACTAAATACCTCATAACTCAAATCTGGTTAACCTTTACCTTACTTTCCAAGATGTTGACCTTGAGAAGGGCTTCTTTTTACCTACAGGAGGTGGTAGTGATAGCTAACATATAATCATTTATTTATGTTTAAGAACTGATTTCCCTATTTCCTAACAGTATCTAAAGAAGATGTTTCTATTTATGGCTCCATAGTGGAACCATCTTAAGAACTTGTTTAAAAAAAAAAAAAAGATTTCCCAGCTCCACCCCAGTTCCACTGAATTAATCAGTATTTTGGGAGATGGGCCCTGTCAATCTGCATTTTTAATAAGTCCTCCATATGACCTCACATCACTGACTGTTTCTGATTGCAGATCAACATTTAAGAGCCACTGATCTAAAAAACAGGCTAGAAGATGTAAGTCTGAAGCTTTAAGTTAAAAAAAATATGGGTACTAACACATACATCATCAGATATTAACAGGGAAAAATAAAAATATATCCACCATTAGGAAATATGAACTATAATAATGTTAAATATCCTGAGTGGTATTCTAAGTACTGGGGAGTCAGTGTGGAAAGAAAGGTAGAAACATTCCCCTCTCCCCGCTTCCAAACATAAGGCTCTCTATATGCCAGGCCATGCAAGGATACTCCAAAAATAGAAGATGGTACTTATTATACTCAAGGAACTTCTAATGGAGGACAAAAGTCAAGTAAAACGACAATCAAGCCTCACAGACAGGTTCTATGGTGAAGCTGCCTTAGAAGTACAGGGCTGAAAATGCTAAAAGTCAGCTGAAAGGGGCTGTGTGTGTTTGCAGGAAGGGGATAAAGGGGGAGATAGCAAGATCTGAAATGGATCTCTTCTATTTATTTTTGATTTCATATTTTCTTTCCTAAGTAATATACGCCCAAGTTTCAAAAATAAAAAAGAACAAATGACTATACAGGAAAGTCACTTTCCCATTGCTGACCTTTAGCCAACCAGCTTCCCCTCCCCATAGATAATCATACTACTATTTTTTATTAGATCCTTATAGAGAGATTTTAGGCATATATAAACAGATAAAACTTAAATTAAAAAAATAAACACAAATGAGGCATAGTTCTATTCGTGGCTTGACACTTAACACATCCTATTGCTGCTTTCATATATTAAGTAGTGTTTTAATCATTATAGAGTATTCTAGTGAAAGGATGTATCATAATCTAAGCAATCATTATCCTACTCCAATCCTAAACAATGTTGCTAGCACATACCTTATATCCTAAGGGAGAGTAAGAATATCTGTAAAAAAAATTCCCAGAGGTAATGCTGCTAAACCAAAGGATAACTGTCACTTTGATAAAATTTGCTCAATAGTCCTTTTTAGTTCTACCAATAACGTAAGAGTGCCTTTTCCCAACTTTGCCGACACTGTGCCAGGCATTTTGATCTTTGCCAGCACAGTAGATGGAAAATGATGATTCATTGCAGCTTTATCTGCAATTATCATGAATGAGGCTGAGCTTTTTTTCCCATAAACTGAAGAGCCTTGAACTGAGTCAAAGGATCAAAAGGAATTTAATTCCAAATTGAAGAGATGGTGAATGAAGGTATCTAGATAGAAATAAGAGTATGCATTAAGACAGCATGACAGAACTTAAAGAGGATATATATAGTTGGACTCATGCATGCCTGAGGATCAGTGGTAGCAGCTTAGCTTGAAAGAGAAACCAATGGCCAGATGACTAATGGTCTTATGTGCTAGGCTGAAGAGTTTAAAATTCATCACAATTTCTGCTAAGAATCTTAACGAAGGACATTAAGAGCCTGGATAACTGAATTACAAACACCACTTGGAAGCAGCCTAGAAATCCATTTAACAGGGCAATCCAGTACTCATATATATGTTCACAGAAACAAGATTTTAAGAAACAAAATTATCTTCACCATATGTAATACTCTTTGATATTTTGAATTCTTTTCTTTTAAATGCTATTTGCAATTCACTAAGTTCATTTCATGACCCACACTAATGGGCCTTGAAAGTTTGGAAAAGTTTTGTACTAGAGAGAAACAGATGAGACAAGGAAACTAATTAAGAGTTAAATGTACCATTCTAGGAGAATGCTTAAGTTCCTCAAGTGAGTAGAGACTGAAATAGGAGGAAATCTGGAATAACGGACCCACTTAAACTTCTTCACTGTTTTTACTGAAGAGGGGGAATAAGAAGGATGGATTTATATTAGAGGCCCAGGTGGAACAAATGCAACATAAAGGATGCAGGAGATTTTGCTGAGGGCCAGTCTTATTAGCTTTCACATACATATAACAAAAGTTATGCAATGAATTCTTTTTTTTATATAGTTGCCAACACCTTTACATTGCATAAGAAAAAACCAAAACACAAATTTATTGTGACATAAAGGAGCTTTTCCTAAGGATATTTGCTGGTCAATAAGTCAGTCCCCTACATATGAATCTTTAAGTTTCGAACTTTCAAAGATGTGAACATGTATTCACATGCCCAATCATAGAAGTTAATTCATGTGTCTGGCATAGACTACCATGTGTGTGCACCCACTACAAGTGGCTGTGCTTCTGAGTACTTTACCGTACAATACTGCATATAATACAGCAGTACAGTACCTTTATTTCAAGCCCAGGGTTCCAGAAGCAAGCGTAAAAGCAGCACTGATGTACCTGGTACTGCTAAGAAGCAACAAGCAATAACAACGGAACCAAAGTGACAGTGATTAGAGTGGAGTGAGGTGAAAAGATGGAACTGGAGGCCCAGAGAAAGGACGAAGAGAGACAAGAGGAACAAGTTAACGGAAGCACGAAAGCGATTCACGACACAGGAAATGGCAAGGGGAGTTTCTTCATCTGAGGAGGCACGGGTAGCTTTTGAGTCACAGGCCCCGAATGTTAACAGGACAGGAAGGTTGCAGCAGCTGTCCAGAATGCCATCCAGTGCTACCGTGTGATCTACAAGAAGAGAAAAAGAGCTACTACCCAGACAACACCGGGTCATCTCTTCAAGAGGGTAGACAGAACTGAATCCAGCAAGCAGAGCCTGGGCCGTCAACGTCAAGCGCGAGTGGCGCTGCCGCTGCTGCTCCGTCAGCTCTACCATCCCCTACCACCGCTCCCTCCTCAGGTCAGCAACTTCCCGTCTGCTCACTCAGTGCCCGCCCTGTGTGCCAGCTAGTGTGTTGCAGCACTATACTTTTCAAGGTATTGTACTGTAAGATTAAACACATTTTATTTCTTGCTCATCTTTATGTATTATTTATGTGGAAAGTATCATAAATCTATTAAGTACAGTACTAGATTGTGTTAGTTGGGTACCTGGGCTAACTCTGTTGGACTTACAAATTGGTGTTATGAATGCACTCCTGGAACAGAACTTGGTCATATATAGGGGACTTACTGTATAGTCTAAGTTGCTTATGGTTTAACATTATGCTAATAGCACTCTGAATTCCAGTGCTCACATAGTGAAAATATTAAAAAGAAAAAAAGAAAAAAAAATCAGACAAATTTTATGTAAGTAAATAATCAGTACAAATCAGGCTCTCAGAATTTGATAGTATGTATTATACACAACATTGTTCTTAGTTTCTGTATCCAGAGCTCACCTATCTGGGAACCTCAAAGTGACTCTAATAATTTACCAGACCAGAAGGTAATGGTTGTCTGACACTTAAATTTTACTGATCAGAAAACTGCAATGGAAAAAAACAACAGGAGAATAAAAATTGGAGAATGAAAGAACTTCAGAAATAAAACAATAACATTCAACATTTAAGTAATTTTCAAAAACTGTTTCAAAATAATGTTAGCAGGTATCTTAAAAAAGGAAAAATGAAATAAAGAAAACAAAGCAGAAAAACAACTGTGAGAAGCAATACTTACTTTAAAACTTCTGTATAGCCCTTGGCGGCTGCAACGTGAAGTGCTGTACCTCCAGATTTTGCATGCCGGACATCATTTATATGACCACTATTTAACCACTGTCTGGCATCTCTAAGCATTATTCGTTCCTCTTCTTTTCGAGCTGCTTCTATATCAACCCCTGATATGATAAAAATAACTTTTTATTTTTTTCTCTATAGAAAATGTTTTTGCTCGGAAATAAAATTATCTAAATTATTTTAAGTGAAAATTAAAAGTGATATTATATTTTTGAAAACTGGGCTGCTTAGAACATGCTGGTTAAAGAAATGAGGGAATACTGTAGATATTTTATTAGCATTTTTTGTTAACTATTTAATTTTTGCCCTTACAATATTTTTTTGGCTTTTTTTTTTAAACCTTTTCTGCTTATTCCTTTTGTTTTTGAATATTTGAACATTCCTCAAGGTATATCTTCCTTTGGTCTAAAGAACAGATTTTTTTTTTTAAAGCACACTCACATATATTTAAGTCTCAATTTTCTATCCACCTGCTTTGACTAGTTCTCTGAACTCTAGCCTAGTAGGTATAAATGTTTATTGAACACCAACTTGGAGGTCCTGTCTTCATGTAAAATTTAACAGGCCTTAAGACAGATGATTGTTTTTTACCAACACAGTACACTGTTCATATCATTAGTATCAGTTTTATAATTTTAATAATAAGTTATACAGATGTTTATTCATTTAAAAGCCTGAAGCACTGTGCTAGGTTGAGGTGATAAGAGGAGGGGAATTCAGAATGGAATAGAACCTTCAAAGAGCTCAACATTCTAAGAAAAAAACTAAAAGAGAAAAGCTAATCCTGAAATTCTTCAGTAATCTCATGTTATCTTATGTTTTCAAATGCTATTTAAAAAACAGCACACACCACATCATTTACACTCTAGAAGATCGTTAAGTTTTAAGATTTTTTAAAAAGGTGAAGATACTGCCTTTTTATCTTCTATCCCAATCATCTGGATCGGTACCTGATATAAAGTAAAAAGGATCAGTAAATGTTTACTAAATGAATACTGTTTAGTTGCTAAGTCGTGTCCGATTGCTTTGCAACCCCAAGGACTGCAGTCTACCAGGCTCCTCTGTCCATGGGATTCTCCGGGCAAGAATAATGGAGTGGGTTGCCAGTTCCTTCTCCCGGGGATCTTCCTGACCCAGGTTTTGAATCGGAGTTGCCTGCATTGGCAGGAGGGTATTTCTTTACGCTGAGCCACCAGGGAAGCCTCAGGTTCCAACACTTGCCCAGAAACCGGGAGGTCATCCTTAATCCCTCCCCTTACCTTATTTCCAGCCCTCATCCAATTAGTCGGCAGATTTTGAGCTGCCACCTCCTAGAATGTCTTTTAATGGCTCCTTATGCTATTTTAATTCATGTCTTATGTCTCACACTTTGATGACTACAGCTGGCCCTTAATTCATTTACCTCAGTCCCTTCTGAGTCATTCCCCATATGATCACAAGACTGGTTTTTCTATATCAAAATATGATCATCTCACTTTTCTGTAAAAACCCGTCAATGACTGCTAAGCTTCTATAAGACAAAGCTCAAGCCCGAGTGTAGCGTACGAAGCCGTTTATGAATTGGTCTCAAGGCACCTTTAGTCTCTAGTCTTCCTCCCTTACCACCACCCAGTGTTCTAACCATCTAGGGTCTTCACACAGGTCAAGTACGCCGTGCTACTGTGCAAGCCGTTATCCTCCACCTGGGATGTATCCTTATCTTGCTTGCTTTATTTATTCAAGACACAACTCAACTGTTGAACTGAAGCTCAATCTTAAAAAAGCAGGCAAAAACGGAAAAGTATTTTTAAAATCCCAAGATTACAGAAGTACCAGCTAAAGTCATCTTAAAACTAGAGATCTTATTACTACACATGAAAGAAACTCACAATAAGACTTTCCAAACTGACTTGATAAAACAATTATATATACAATATATAACAAATAAAACCCATTATCTTTATTTACAAAGCATCACCATTTCTATAAAAAAGCAATTTTATACATTATAAATTTCCTATCAAAAGATAAACAGCCCAACTTATTGAGGATGTCTTCTAATGTTATTCATAAAAGTAATTATAAGGCTGCAACTGTAATACGTAAGAATAATCTTTCTACTAAATGACTTTTCTCAGACTGATTTATTTTCTTATGCTTTGTTTTATTTTTTTACTATGTATTTTAAAACATGAATGTATTTATTATCTTTATCCCTTTTCTCTTTACCATCTTAAACAGCCTGACTGTTACTGTCTTTTATATTATTCTAAATTTCCTCTGGACTTGAAATAAATAAAATATCTGCTTCTTACTTCTGGATTTATCTGATTTCATGCTGTCTTTATCTTATTACAAAGCAATTACCCTCTGCTGCCACCAAATTGTGCCTTTATATAAATTATATATAAAAACAACTCAAGTCTAAAATTTAAGTATATGTGAAGGGAAATTTCTTATGTTTAAGTAAATTCAGTTACCAAAAAACCTAACAACAACAATTTTCTTGCTTTTAAAATCTTTTTAAAAATACCAATGATTAGAACGATGGACAATTACATTTTTTTAAACCTCATCAGACAATATAATATATATAGTGTGTATATATATATATATACACATATATAAATAGAATATGTATATAGAGAGAACAATACTTGTTTTCTAATTCCAGTGTTTTAACTAGGCTAATAACCTTCAGACAGCCGTAACTTCTTTCAATATTAATATAATGAGTTAAGAACACAGATCTGAATCTACACTGCTTGGTTTCAATCCCTGATCTGCCACTTACTAGTTCTATCATCTTGAGCAAGACACAATCCACACCAGCATTCAATTTTTTTATTTTTAAGTTAGGAATATACAAAGTACCTATCCACAATGTTGTTGTGAGGATTAAATTAATTAATAAATGTGAAGTATTTAGAAGAAGAATAAGCACTAAGGTGTTAATTATCACAATCAGTTCTAAAAGTCTATGATTCTGCTTCTCTTTTATTGCCTTGTGGACTAATAGGAAAAAGATCCTATAAAGCGTTTTACTGGTCTTTAATTTACCTACTGGTCTTTAGTTTACCTAAATTTGCAATTACCTATAATTGCAAAACTTTTAAACAATGAAAACAATGTATACTGAACTAAATGGGGTATGATATAATAAAGTGACTAGACTATTTACCATCTGTCACTACTGTTAAAAAATAGTAAATGTTAACTTATAAGAAAATGTTAGTCAATTTTCTTAGGTAAGAAAACATAAAACTGAATTGGAATTTGGTTAGATAAGAGATGCAAAAATTGACTTGTATTCCAAGCTAAATAAAGAAAATTACTTTAAAACATAAATCAGAAATACTTTCATCTATTCAATTATTACTACTTTCAAAGGAAATTTACTTAAGCATGACTAGTTGTTGATAATCAAGTATATTAGAATAAGGAACAAAAGAATGTTCAAAAGAATGATCAAAGAATTTTAAAATATTAAATAGTATCTTTCATACCAGGATAAATAATTTGAGAAATTTTGTCATTACTAATGATATATTTAGGAGGCTCCTTTCATAACTGTTCAACTCTACTGATAGATGAGAGAGAAGCGCCTATCTTTTTTTCTATGGAATAAAGCTATGTTATATAAATCATGTATTCCCATGAATAAATGAACATCAGGAAATATTTCTAGGAGACATCCCTAATAGAATGCACTATGGTACTCTGAGGAAGAGTGTAGGGCTCAAGGTATCCGTTGAGCTGGTTGGGACGGAACCACATACAGCACCACTCCCTCCCTGTTTGACTGTGGGCAAATCGCTGAGCCTCCTTTTCTCATCTGGAGAACGCAGTGACAGCACCATTAACCTTGCAGAATTGCTAAAAGGGTGAAATGAAATAATGCACGTAAAGTCTTCTGCTCAATGCCTGGCAAATAACTAGTATTTAGATTATTTTAAAAAGAGTTAGCTTTTATTTTTAGTATCAGTGCTTCACTTTCAGTTTCAGGGTCATATTATATATTATTTCCCAGAATTTCTCATTATTTTTCCAGATTTACATTTTCCATCCTGACACCTCCTAGATTCCAACATGTCATTTAGATGAACACTGCCATTTAGATGTGCTCTAGCAACCACAAGTTCAGTACATACCAAAACAAACTCATGCACTTTCTCAATCTTTTCCTGCTTTGTTCCACATTTTTCCATGTGAATTCACCCAAAGTCACTTCTTAAACTGGAGGCAAATTAGGTGGCCTCAATTCTTCCTTCAACTCCATATTCAATTACTCACCAAGCTGTTTTAATTTTACCTTAACATTTTCTGAAAACAACCCTGGCTCTTTGCTCTTTTCCCTATTAAATATAATTATTTTGGCCCTACTGGTCTTTCATCTGGATTAATTGAAGAGTCTTCCTCAGGGAAGGGATACCACCATGTATTCCCCATTTGAATTTTTTTTTTTCCCCATTTGAATTTATCCTCCAGATTACCATCAGTTTTATTACTAAACACTAAATCCAATCAGGTTAATTTCCTGCTTGGGGATCTTTGTTGCATCTGTCTAATGCCTATAAAATAGATGTCCACCATCTGGCTCTAGACTAATCTTTTCAAGTCTCAATCTCATACTAATTCCATCTTGATTTTCTTACTCCATTCCAATTCTAGTGAATTCTCTGCATTTGCTATGTTTCTGATCCCTTTTCTTTGCACTTGTTGATACCCTCATCTGACATGCCTTTTTTGTCCACCACCCCTCCTCTTTGCCAAGCAAACTCCCTCTCAAATGTCATCTTTCTCAAACCCTTCCTGACTACTGAAAGCAGTTAGTCATAGTCTTTTCTGTTCTCCCACATCATTCTGTTCCTATCTGTATTTTAGCACACAGCACTGTAAAGCTCGGTTTATGTATCTGTCACTTCTACTACCCTGTGAAATCCTCAAGAGCAAAGTTTGTTTCTGTTTTTTTTTTTTTTTTTTTAATACCCAGCACTCAGAACAAATATGCTGGCACATTAATCAAAATCAAATGAATCATTACAACTAAAATCAGCTTTGCTAACAGTTTCCTTTATATAGAAAGAAATTAAAGACAAAAAGTTTTCAGTACATCTCCACGCCTTTCCCAGCTGCTATCTACCTGGGCACTAATCAGGGCAAGATGGACAGATAAGGGACTCTTTCTTTCTAGGTTGTGATGCTTTATATACATTCTTCCAGTTTCTTCAAGTCTTGACTATCCCATTACTTCAAAATTGCCTGCTTAGGACAGAACTGTTAAAAAGCTCTTCTGTGGATTGCTCCAAGCTCTAGTTTATGACTGCTGTTGTAACATGGGCCTTGTTTCTTCTGGACTCCAGGTACCTTCAGCTGTTACTTCAACTCTATTTAAGCATTTAAATACTTCCTCAGTTTTAGTGCCCAAGATTTGTTTTTTAAACAACCAGGAGTGTATGTGTGTTCAGTCATGTCCAACTCTTTGAGACCCCATGGATGGTAGCCCACTAGGCTCTTCTGTCCATGGAATTTTCCAGGCAAGAATACTATTTCCTACTCCATTTCCTACTCCAGGGGATTCTCTACCACAAGAGTGAACCCGAGTCTCTCATGTCTCGTGCACTGACAGGCGGGTTCTTTACCCTGTGTCACCTGGGAAGCCCCAAAGCAACCAGGCACTCCTTATGAATTATCCCAATCCCAAGAAATAAAAATCTCTTTTCACTTAGCTTTTATTTCTTTGCTTTTAATGAACACACTTCAGCAAGACTCAACCCTCTCTAAACCAATACTCCATATCTTATACAACATAGCTCTCTTCTGATAATACTCATTTAATCACTGCCTAGACATAAGAATACAATAGAAATCACAGTAATTTATATATGTACGCTTTTTAAAAACTGAAGTAAAATACACATAATAAAATTTACTATCTTAATAATCATTTTAAGTAGACAGTTCAGCAATGTTAAGTACATTTACATTGTTGCTCAGTCTTCAGAAACACTTTTTATCTTGCAAAATTGAAATGCTATGCTAATTAAACAACAAATCCCCATTCCCACCTCCTCCCAACTCCTGACAACCATCATTCCACCTTCTCTATGATTTTGAGTACTTGAGGTACCTCATGTAAGTGGAATCAGAAAGTAATTGTCTTTTTGTGACTGCCTTATTTCACATAGTATAATGCTCTCAACGTTCAACCAGGCTACAGCATATGTCAGAATTTCCTTCTTAGTGCTGAACAATATTTCATTGTAAGTATATACTATATATTGTTTATTCATCCACCCATTGATGAACATTTGGTTTTCTTTCATCTTTCAATTATTGTGAATAATGCTATAAACATGGGTGTATAAAAGTCTCTGAAACCTTCCTTTTAATTCTTTGGTTATGTGCCCAGAAGACGAATTGCTTTATATTTATTGAGATGTAATTCACACAATTTAAAGTAAACAATTTAGTGGTTGTTAGTAAATTTTCGGAGTTGTGCAACCATTACCACAATCAGTTTTAGAACACTCATCACTCCTAAAAGAAATTCTGTCCATAAGCAATCATCTATCACTACAAATTGACATCTCCCAAATTCATATCTCGAGCTGTACCTCTCTCTACTAACATATTCAACTGCCTGGATATCTTAGCAGGCAAAACAAGTTTAACATGTCTAAAAAATGAACCCCTGAACCTTTCCCTATAAAACTTACTTTTCCCACAATATTCACATCTCTCATAAAAACTTCACCTGTCTAGTTGCTCAAACCAAAAATCTTAGAATCTTCCCTGCCTTCTTCTTACACATCCTACTTTTAATCATGCAATGATCTGCTTGGTCGTATCTTCACAACATACCTAACACCCAAACTTCTCCTCACTTTGTCTACTACCAGCCTACTTCTCCCCTTGCCATTCTCCTACTTCTGCCTTTGCTCTGCTACAATCTATTCTCAACACAGCAGCCCCCAAGATCCTTTCTACAAGTCAGATCATGTCATTCCCCTATCTGTCTGTCTCTCCACTGACCCCCAGTTTCACTCAGATTAAAAGCTAAAATCCTTCCAACAGCCCACACGGGCTTGTGTGAGATGGTCCACTGCTACTCTGCAACCTCCTCTCCTCTGAGCCTCTTCCAGGTTCTGTCTGCTTCAGTCACACTGGTCTCATTCGCTGCTCCTCTGAAAACATCCGGCACCACCCCCCCCCCCCATCATACGCGAATTCACTGCTCCCACTGGACGCAGTGTTCTTTCCCCAGACCTGTATGATTCACTCCATCGCCTGGATAAGATCTTAGCTTAAATACATCCTTGTCAGTGAGGACTTCCTGACTGTTCTGCTTAAATGGGTCCTGTTCACCCCATACACTTCTTTGTCTGTCTGTTTTACTTATCTCCAAAGCTTTTACTGACAGGTAATTTTGTGCCTGATCCTACCACTTACAATACTTCTTTCAACTTGAAAAATATTAAAAAGGCGTAGAGTTAAGAATCATACAGTTATTCAAGTAGAACCTTACTGCACATATTATTAAGTAAACTCATTTTTTCACACACAAATTATAATTGTCCTTCAATGCCAACAATTATTTATTGAAAAAGCCAAGTATCATACTTTTCACAAGACAGTTTTACACGTATTTTCCATTTAGGGTGGTTTACGTTACCTTGCCGATTAACTTCATTCTGAAGTAGCTCTTCCATTGCCTCCTCCTCAGCAATATCTAAAGGCGTGTCTCCTTCACTGTTGACAGCTCCTACATGTGCTCCCTGACCAATCAAAAACCTGTAGAATTAAAGGGAAGAGAGTTAAGCAATGATGGTATCATTGAAACAAGACTAAAAGAATAGTTAATGAGGTAAGCTTCTATGCAATAGCAGCAATAAAAACAAAGGAAAGCACAGGCACTATGTAAGCTTTAAGAAACTACCATAAGGCATGCTTTCTTTTTAAAATTTCATATTTCCTAACTTTTCTGTAAGGAATACACTAATACAATACTAAGAACAAACACTAATACTATACTAATATTGCAAAATACTAATACAAAAATGTCATTTAAAATATTACAAATATTTTAAAACAATTATGAAATCTTCCATAGGATTATTTCAGACTGTCTCCATTAAGATTTTTCATTATCTCCACATTGACTAGTTCCCTAACTGATCTTCAAACTCCCAGTCTGATGCCATAAGCAAAAGTTCCTAACCTGAGATTCATGGACATAATTCAGCAAGTCATTCAGCTGGTATAGATATCTTAAAATACTGTTAATGCTCATCACTATTTTGAAATTAAGGTAATTAGCAGACCAACTACTAGGTCTTTTTAATGTGTTACTGAAGAATACACATACTTTGCACTATTTTATTTTATGCATCTGAAATACAATACTAAGAACAGATTCACAGGCTTCATCACACCTGCCAAAGGGATCAAGGGATCCAGATACAAAATGGTTATGAATCTCTTTCAGTAAACCAACTGCACATCTTCCAGAATCATCTATTTGACACGACTGGAGTCAGTTCTCAATTTGAGATTCTCTGAGTGGTTGTCCATGCTAGGAGAAGACACACATGGCCCTCATTGATCTGGTTTTACCTTCTTTTCAGCCTCATTCTTCTTTAGACTCCAACAGTATAGAACTGTTTGTAGTTCCAGACTAAACGATGTTCTTTTAGCATCCGTGATTTTACTTTTCTTTACATAAAGAATGGTCCTTTTTTTCTCATATCCCTAAATCAATCTACCCTTATTTGTTTATTTTTATAGGCTACATGACAATATATGCATTATAAAAACAGTGAATAAGAAAAAAAAGCCCACAGAGTTTTTAAAAAAGAAAAAACTCTATACCTCTTTTATTGTTCTGTTCCCTCTCAGAGATAAACACTATCAATAGCATGGCAAGGATCTTTCCAGTACCTTTGCTATAAATTTATGTTTGTATATAAACAAATATAGTTACTTTTGAGGTTCTTTTTGTAAAACAAAATTAATAGGATTACTTTAAATGCACTAGAATGCAACACTTGCCTTCCAGTAGCTGAAAAATATTTCACAATATGACTGGATCAATTTTTTTTTAATTCTTTTTTTTTTTTAATTAGTTGGAGGCTAATTACTTTACAATATTGTAGTGGTTTTTGTCATACATTGACATGAATCAGCCATGGATATACATGTATTCCCCATCCCGATCCCCCCCTCCCACCTCCCTGGATCAATTTTTTTAATGCTATCTTGCTAATGGATGTGTTCTTAAATGGAGATTTGACATTATCAATCTCTAAAATTTTTCTCAATGTGATGAGAATAAAGCACCTTATCATCATTTTATTTCCTGACTACACAGGAGGTTGAAAATTTCTGGATGTGTTTACTAGTATTTGTATTTTCTCCTTTTGTGAACTTCCCATTTACATCTTTCACTTTTATTTTTAAAGTCTGCATTTTTTCAACAAACACTTATGGGATGTTATAGACTGAATGACTTTGTATTCCTTCAAAATTCATCTTGAAACCCCAAACTACCAATGTGATGGTATTAGGAGGCAGGATTTGGGGAAGGTAATCTAGGTATAGATCAGATCATGAGGGTGGAGAATCCATGATGGGATGAATGTTTTTAAAGAAGAAAATAACAGAGCTCACCGTTTCTCTGCATTGAGTACACAGCAAGACGGTGGCCACCTCCAAGCCAGGAAAGGAGCCCTCCCAAGACACAGAGGTGTGTCTTGGACTCTCCAGTCTCCAGAGCTGTGAGGAACAAACGCCTGCTGTGTCAGCTTCCCAGTTTACATCACTTTCCCTACAGCAGTCAAAGCTGAGACAAGTGACTGCTACATATCGAGCACTCTGTCACATGTCAGGAACGTAAGAGCAAACAGAAACAAACGCAGAGCTTCCCCTCAGCCATTTGATAATCTAGAAAGAGAGGTGGAATATTTACCTAAATTAATGTAAAACTTTGATGCCTTATGACAGAGGCTTTTACCTCTATAAGTGAATTAAGAGAATTTTGATTCAGTAAGGTCAGGAAAGGATTCCCTGAAGAACATATAGGTACTAGCAGCAACCGTAACGGAAGGAGTGTGTGTGCCGGAACAAAAGGCACCAAACCCCTGTGATGGGAAATGGGTACGGCTAGACAAGTGCTTGTGTGCATGCAAGTGGCTCAGCAGTGTTTGACTCCGCAACCCTAAGGACTATGGCCAGACAAGGGCCTGCTTCATTTTCCTGGGAGTAACTGAAATAGAATTAATCAATCTCTACATAGTTTCTGTCATGTACACTCCAAAGTTAGTGTTTATTTTGTAAGATCCTTAAATGATCATTTATGTGTTTCAAGATCACTTTGTGCACTACGGAAAACAAACAGAATGGAGAAAGAAAGTAGGCACACCAGCTAATGAGCTACTGCAGCAGTTGAGAAAAATTATGTTGGAAGTTTGAATTTGATGGAGGGAATGGGTAAATTCCAGAGATATCTAGGAGATCCAAGATATCAGCGGGATGCAAGCAAAGGTGAGGAAGATATTTACGATAAACTGAAGTTTTTAATTTGTATGTAATGGATGGATGGCTATACTAATGAATGATTCACAAAAAACTAAGTTATTCCCTACTTCTAATAGACGTGTTGCAAGTATTTTTTTTACTACATTGTCACTACATTAAACAAAAATCTTTTCTGACAGTATTCTGTATATGAGTGAAGTTTAAAGGTTATATGAAGTCAGGTCTGTCAACCTTTTGCTTTAAGACGGATTTTCCCAATTAGCTATGAATATCTATGTGGAGATACAACTTTTACAAGACACACAGACAGAAAGAGATAGATAGAATAAGGAAAGAATATATACCATGAAGTTAACAGAGGTTAACATTACGAGGGTTTTGCTTTGTTTTTTTTAATCCCCAACCAGGGATTGAACCCACACCCTCCGCACTGGAAACACGGAGTCTTAACCACTAGACAACCAGGGAAATCTTGAATTAGGAGAGATTTGTATGAGTGGGGATTTTTCGGGCGGTGGGGGTCGGGGGAGGGAGGAAGTGGCATTTGTTATCCTAGTTTTCTGCAGCAAGTTCAATTTGTGTATGTATTATCAGACCACAAAAATGGCTACCATGCCATTTTGTAGCCTGGTATTTTTAGACTTAATAGTATGTTATAAGCATTTCTCCTTATATGAAGCAATGTTTCATTTTTATGATGTTCGCAATATGTCTACAAACAGAAGTCATATGTGAATTGAAGCAACTTTTTCTGTTGCAGTCTTTAAAGTTGTATCACAAAAGTAATGAATAACATATATATACTATCGTGTGTAAAACAGACGGCGAGCAGGAAACTGCTCTGTAACACAGGGAGCGCAGCCTGGTGCTCGATGGTCTAGAGAGGTGGGCTGCGGGGAGAGGGAGGAGGCTTAGGAGGGAAGGGAGGTAAATACGGATGAAGGTGAAGTCGCTCAGTCGTGATGATCTAGAGGGGTGGGCTGCGGGGAGAGGGAGGAGGCTTAGGGGGGAAGGGATGTAAATACGGGTGAAAGTGAAGTCGCTCAGTCGTGTCCAACGCTTTGCTACCCCAGGGACTGTAACCCACAGAATTTTTCAGGCAAGTGTACTGGAGTGGGTTGCCATTTCCTTCTCCAGGGGATCTTTCTGACCCAGGGATCAAACCTGGGTATCCCACATTGCAGATAGAGGCTTTACGTCTGAGCCACCAGGGGAAGTCCATATATATATATATAAAATTATGACTGATTCATGTTGCTGTATGGCAGAAATCATAACAATGTAAAGCAATTATCCTCCAATAAAAAAAGAAAAGTAATGAAGAATATTTATGTACTATAAATGAATAAATCTGGAGGGAAAAAAAAGATATTAGTGAAATAGTAACTACTATGCTCCAGGAGAATATGTAAGCATTCCACTAGGCAAAATCTCAATCAAACAATCAGATATTTAAATAAAACCACTTATATTTTGCTTGTATGTGTGCTAAGTCGCTTCAGCTGTGTCCGACTCTTTGTGACCCTATGGACTGTAGCCTGCCAGGCTCCTCTGTCCATGGGATTCTCCAGGCACGAATACTGGAATGGGTTGCCATTTCTTACTCCAGGGCATCTTCTGGACCCGGAGATCAAACCTGTGTCTCCTGTGACTCCTGCATTGCAGGTGGATTCTTTACAGTTGAGCCATCTATATTTTGCCTAGGTATTACAAATCATTCACAAGATGTAAAGACAGAATAAAAGGAAGATCTCAGAGTGGCTGCAGTGCTTGCAGCAGAGGGAAGCAGAGTCTCAAGGAAATACCAGGTCAAAGCCAAAAAAGAGTCATTCTAAAATTTATATAAACAGGAAGGATCTGAAGAGAAACTAACAAGAGTAAAGTTCTGAAAACTGCTAGCAGAAAGTAGGGCCTGGAGCAATCCCTGAGCCAAAAGTTTAGGTATAAATATGTATGCATACAATTCACAAACTACTATTTGTAAATGTAAATTTTAAAAGAGATATCAATCAATCAATAAACCTCATGACATTTTAATTTATTACCATGAATAATCTGAAAAAAAATCATTCAAGGATTGGTTTGGTGAGGGAAAAAAAAGCATAAACATTTAAATTCTGCAGACTTTGGGTTTGGTTCCCACTTCAGTTTCTTGACAGCTGTGTGATATTCATTAACTTAAAACATTTGAAACCTAGTTTATAGATAACTTACAGGGTTGTGTTAAGTTTAAATGAGTTGATGTCTAAAAATAAAGT